CCCACGATAAATTAAAGTCCACGCTTTTTGACATCATTGACAGCTGCTTTTATAATAAAAATGGAACTCGTATGCTTACCTTGTCATTGCTCATTTGGGAAATTATTTTGTTTAAAAACATTCTGATTATACACACAAGTACTCTGAAGTTGATGCCAATACATGCTTGAGTTTCTGATTGACAATATCTATGTGGTTTTCGGAAATCATGTCTTCCAACAATCTGTTGGAATTTCCATGGGTACCAATTGCGCCCCTTTATAAGCAGACCTATTTTTGTATTCATATTTATTAAAAAACTTCTACATAGAAGAAGAAACACTTGCTGTCGCATTCAACTCGACATTTAGATATATCGACGACGTATTATCAATTAACAATAGTTACTTCCATTCATATGTTGACTCGACATATCCCAGTGAGCTTGAAATAAAATATACCACCGAGTGTGACACATCTGTTTTATATTTGGATATTTTGCTAGAAAAAGACGTTAATGGTTGCATAACAACAAAGCTTTATTTAAAAAAGTGATGACTAATTTTTCAATCGTCAACGTCCCTTACTTATGAAGCAATATACATTTATCATCTGCATATGGGATTTTGTCTCCTAGTTGATTCGATACGCAAGAGCATGCTCTACGTATGAATGATTTCTAAAACGAGGCAAACTTTTGTCAAAGACGTTGATGAAACAAGGATATCAACAGTCTTGTTTAAAGTCATCATTATGCAAGTTTCATGGTTGATAAAATGACCTTGTCAGCAAATACAATCTAGCATTAAGTCAAATGCTGAGTGACGTTTTTATACTATTTGTAAGGCCATTATTTACACACTGAATTGTGTACGAATTTTTCCGTTCCCGATCATGACAAGGAGCACACGACCGGTGTGACCGGTCGACAGGGGATGCTCACTCCTCCATGGCACCTGACCCCACATCTGATGTTTTTGGAAGTACGTGTTTGCTCTTCTCCCGATTTGTATTGTTTAAATGGACTTTGAGCTTAGATACTGTCGTGACCGGTCGGCAGGGAATGCTTACTCTTTCATGGCACCTGGTTCCACCTCTGATGTTTTTGGAGGTTCGTGTTTGCTCTGCTCCCGATTTGCTTTGTTTAATGGGCTTTGAGCTTGAATATTGTTCGTTATCTCCATATTTCACTTCATGTTTCATGAAATTGAACTATCAAGACTCCCAAGGTGTCTAATCATAATTAAAAGAAATTTCATTGGAAGAGTTTATACTGAAGATCTGTAATTTGTGTGTAACTTCTCTCACACACAGTTTTAAGTTTTTCCTTGTTTGCATAATGCAAGAACTATTAAACGAAACCAAACAAGACCAAAACTAGTATGGATATCAAATTGCACTGACTAAAGACGTTAATGGCAAACGAAATACTAAACTAGATTAATTCAACTTTTCCAATGTCACCTTCCTTTATTTTTGTAGTAATAGTCCATGATCACCTGCATATGGCGTTTGTCTCCCAACGAATTTGGTACGCAAAAGCATGTTCTAAGTAAGACCAATTTTTAAACTGCCTCAGGCTTTCAACAAACAAAATGATGTTACATTGTTTTCTACAATCTCGTTTAATGTCAGGATTTCGCAAGTACTATTGTCGTTATTACGACCTTGTTGTTTTGCAAATACAACCGAAAGTTGGGTCTATTTTCATACAATTTGTTATGCCATTTATTTATACTAAGTTTGACGATGTAAACTCCGTTTATCTGATTAACACAGAGGACTTAGGGCGTAAGTAACCCGTCGACGGGGGGTGCTTACTCCTCATACTCACTTAACTTCACCGTAGGTGTTTTCAGGGGTCCTTTTTTCAGGAATTATAAGATAAATCACAGTACACTATCTTCACATTTTTTCATTGTCATCTCCTTGTTGATTATATACATGTATATTCTCCAAACAAAATGGTGCAATATTGGTTAAAGATGTTTCATATTTAGATGTTTTACTGACTGACTATAGACGATAAGGATTAATTAACAACTAAATTGTATGACACACGTGATGACTTCAACTTTTCCTTATTTATGTAGTAATATTCCGCTATCAACAGCATATTATGTTTACGTCTTCCAGTTTATTAAGAACATGCTCCGAGTACATTTTTTTTAAACAGAGGTTGGCTACTGACATATATGTTGATGTTACAGGGATTTCAACAAAACAGTTAAACATCAGTATTTTGTGAATCCTATGATCATTATAATGACCTTGTTAGAAAATATAACCTATCATTTGGGAATGTTTTGATTGACGTGATTCCTTCAAATAGTCAAGCTATTGTTTTTATATTAAATTTGACTACGGAATGTTTCGTCTGATCAATACATAGGGCTCACGGCAGGTGGGACCGGTGAACAGGGAATGCTTACTCCTCCTAGGCACCTGATGAGGAATTTTAGTGGGTCTGTGTTTTATGCCCTGTTCACAGATTTGTATTGTTTGCAGATTTTTTCGAGATCATTTGTTATCTTCACCTCTTTTATTTGAAATAATTATTAATCAGAAGGGCTCCATGCTATTTATATGAACTCTTGCAACCTTGTTGGCCTAGTGAATACTGATGTACAAGTAGATGCTATAATTTTAAGGTCATGAAATGTGAATACAACGAACAGATATCATGCTAAAAAACAATTAAACATTATAAATTCAAGGCAAAGCAAACATGGACCCCTGAAAACATCAGATGTGAGGTTGTCATGTACCACGTAGTAAGCATCCCCTTTTCGACCGGCCACACCCGCCGTGAGTTTTCATCGGGTAAACGGAGATAGGCAATTCAGTATGAAAATAATAGACTAACAAATTGTATGAAAAACGTCAGTCAACATTCGACCTTTCGACAGATTGTATTTGCTAACAAGGTTATTGTATCGACCACAGATCCTATCATTGGTTATCTGAAGGTAATTAATAGTTGTCTGCCAATGTGTAGAACTTCTTAAGAAAGTGGGTTTTTATCTTCAGCTAAAGAAAAAATTATGGAATAGTAGTTGTTTATCAAAGAATCATATCCACAAAATCAATATTGAAAATGAGTTTAAAGGGGAAAAAAATGTTACAAATTATATATATATATATATTTTTCAATATTTCGAGAACATACCTCACTTTTAAATGAGATTTAATGTTAGCAAGTTCCATTCTTATATGATTAAAAAAATCATTATCAAATTTTTCTGTGTTTTTATAAGAAAAGACAATTGTCATATTTTCTTCAATTAGCCTGCAATTTTTATCCGTGCAGTGCAAAAGAAGCATTAAAATATTTAAATGTACCTTTCGAATACCGCATTGAATGGTAGTGCAGTCTATTTAAAATTGAAAAAGCAGAAATGATCAATTTAGGAGGAAACATTGAAAACGTAGGGAAAAGTCGGTATAGAATGGGCATTTGATATAAATCAGAAATGATCGATAACAAAGAGGAAAAAAAATTCACTGTAAGATAAAGTTGCATTACTCATGGAGCCACGAAAAATGAAAAGAAAAGGGGAATTCTGAATACTGAAGGAATAAATTGACATTGTGGGGACTGTGTTAAATCTAGGAAAGAGAGGTTCCCAGCTGGAAATAACAATATGTGGTTGGCGGGGAAATGAAATGAAACGAAGTACAAAGACACAATTATAATAGACACAGCACTCTTGTAGGTTAAAAAAGAAAAGGTTAATCTGATAGGTGTAAAGAGTTTTACAATCGTTCAGATATCGTAAAATGTTCTTCAGTGTTAGAAATAGTAATTACAAACCAATTAAATAGAATATCAAGTATTTGATGTAATTATCTTAATTTAGAAACATGTTATAATTCATATTTTGTAGCTCTAATTATAAAAATGAATAATTGATTATAGTTTAGAAAGTTCACATTGATCCCCTACGTTATACACGTATCTTGTAAAATATTTAATGAGTACAATATTAATATTTACAGGATCCTGAATAAGAAAATAAAACATTCACAAACTTGGATTTTGCTTATTAATATTATATTTTAATACTCATTCTACAACTATCAACCATTTTTTGTGGTTTTAAACTTTAATTTTGGTAAACACGATTAATTCGTCCTTATGTCTTTTACTCTCCTAGATTAATCAAGTAATTTTATACTGGGTACATGTATTTCACATTTAATTATTATATAGACATGTATCAATTCTTTTGTAGATAAGTTTGACATCGTTCGTTTGAATTTTCCAGAAATAAAAAAAATTAAATCTTCATGGCCTGCCGATTAATGCTTCTATTTTTGTAGCATAGTAAAATATTGTTTAATTAAAAAAAGAAAAACACATTTCTTTTGTCAAATTAATAATACAAATAAGACAGATTAGAAATAGATTTGCACAATATCACGGGTACAATTCGGGTGATGGTGTAAACTGTCCAATAATACATTACAGTAGAATAATATAGAATGTTATGTGACCTTTTATTTTGATTACTTATCAGGCTCTCTTAGGTAATTTGAAAATGTTTAAAGTAACATATATGTCTTATGCAGTTCTAAATGAAAACTTGTTATAATAGACAGATAGTGTTTTCATATAGAAATATATGAGGAATATAACCATTTAGCATAATGATCGAATTAACAATAAGTATTTATAGATTTCTTAGTTTTGGGGTCTCAAGGATCACATCCCAATTGCAAGATGCCCGTACCTGGTTTGTCCATCGAAGAAGAGAGTGTAGAAATTCACGAGTCCATGTGCTTTATCAGTTAATGAATCACAATTTTGATTTTAATCATAGATTCAATATAATGCAATACAATCGTAATAAAAATAGGTATGTTCACAAAAGTAGGGGTTAAATGAGTGTAGAGTTTTTGAGGAAAGGCGTATTTCTCAATGAAATGTGAAGATAACGGACAGCAAATTGTTTGTGAACTTCGAGTTTGGGCTGTCCACTAGCAATTGTTTTTTGATAAACAAGTCCCCCTTTTTGCGGTTTTCAGACGTGCGTCTGCACTACGTATATCAACCAATAATTCTACCAAATATTCCATACATCATGACTATAGGAAATAACTGGTAAAGAAAGGAAAAATAATTACGGGGAAGTATTCCGCCCGAATCGTGGCATTCCTTAATGAGACGCCGCCGTTACAAGGTATGATGCCGGCCAGTCGTGTTTCAGAATCGTCATAGGATAATTATATAAGATGCTCTGGCCACTTGACCAGGCTTTACTCGCTCACTGTTAGCCCTGACATTCATTTCAGTCTCTTCATGCTCGTGGGAATGGTATTTATACTATATGAATGTGACGCCTAATTATTTATTGTCATTTGCGTGCGCTATACGTGACGATCCTTTCTCAAAGCCAACTATGCTTCGCTAAGACGCGGACACAGCTTTTCAGTGCTCGTGCATTCTTGATTGGAAAATTCTACGGTCCATTTGATTCAGTCTTCTGCAATTGTTATTCAAAAAAGGAAGAGGGACAATTGACCATTTTTGAAGGTAAATTGCAATTACAAAATGCATTGGACTTTTTTGAAAACATTGCTGATCTAGTTTTTCATTAAGATATTGAGATTTTGCATGTTATCACATACAGCATGTATACGACTGACCTCAGATTTGTTTAGAATTCACCAGAATTGAAAATATATTTGAATCAAGTTATATCGTAGATTTAATTTAATTTAATTTTTATCTTAATCGCGATGTCTTTAAATTTTAATGCATTTGAGATATATATATATATATATATATATATATATATATATATATATATATATATATATATATATATATATATATATATATATATATATATATATATATATATAAATTTTTATTATGCATATTGAACAGGAACTGATAAGCATAATCTCTCGTTATTGTTTACCCATTGATGGAAATCTTTTTGGTAGATAATTCAAATAAAAAAGTACAAATAGTTGTTCGCATGCTCATACAATATAACTAATATAAAGTGTTATAACTTATTGTTAGTTTCTTGACAGTTATAAAATGTAAACTAATACAACCAACTAGGTGATGTAAGAGCGCTAAATATGGCGCTTTAATTAGATCACCTGGACTTTATCACATAGAATAGCTTTTACAGCAATTAAATACTTTATTTAAAAGATAACAGATTAAGCAAGTAAGATAGAAAGTTTGGAAAGGATCTGGATGTAAAATTCATAAGGAAAATTGGAAAAAAAGAATCTTCTTTGTTATTTCACGGTATTGCATTGTCAAAAATGGTAATTAAACGTGATTCAATGTTAAGAGTTCAAATACAGGATAACAGGTGTTTCTAATTAATTACGACCAAACTTCAGAATTAGTTTTACATATTATGAAGTAAATAAATATGTTTATCCCAACTATTGCACGAGAGATGATGTTTATTAGTATTTTATGAGGATATTGCTTGTCATTATATAGTGGGCTTTGTAAAATGTACGTTTATTATTGTGTAACAAACATAAAAGAGATCTTACCTGCCCTCATGCACTGGCGTGTTTATGGCATATTTACAAATACATGTTATAGTGCACATTCATGGTCAGCCTAACATCTGTAAAAGTGCAGGATGACTTCACTATGCTAATCTAATCAAATTTTTCCCGGTAAATGGTCTACAAAGAAGTTTTCCCGGTAAAATGTCTACAAAGGCATACCTTGATTAGCGTGACTTTTAAAAATATTCTATATGTAAAAATGAAATAAATTCCTAGAAACTGTTTTGTGTTTAAAGTATATATACTTATAGTAAATAGTATACTTACTTTTGATATCATTTTGCAGCCCCGTTGTCCATTCGGAAATTCACAATTTCTTTTTTTGTACTGAATATTTATCTAAACTAGATGATTTAGTTATGTTACTTTGTAATATTATATACTATATTTATCTTTTTTAAAAATCTTATGTAAACATAGATCTATTTTAAAAATCTAATATATACACCGAAAAGTATGAAATATAGGATTGGAGAACAGAAAATGCCATTAAATACCCTCGCCAAACAGAAAGATGGACGAAATGTGTATCTTGTCTTTAGTTATGTACATGGAATTTTTTTTTCGTATATGAGAAAATGAGAAAAGAACATTGTTTATGACATGAATAACAATGTAAATCCTTGATATTTTTGCATTACGTTTTTTTTTTAATGTAAAACAATTATGAAAATTTTGCTTTGCAACATGCTGTATGGAAACTTAAATGTTGAACCGTGTCTTCCGCTTAATTTATCATCTGTGTTGTAATTCACACCTTAGTAAACTATTTGAGACAATGTATTCAATAAAAAACATCTAGATATGGACAAAATTATGTTTGTCTTAGTTTTCCAATGTTTTCCTAATTTTAATTCAGAACGATCTATTTTTTTCCGTCTGCAATTTTACGATGAGTTCTCTTCCAAGTATTTCGTACGGAAGCCTCTACATATTTACTTATTTATTGCATAAAATAGTTTCTGAACACGAATTTTGAATTACAGCATTCGTTTTATGTTCTAAAAGTGTGACATCCAAATAAAACAAAATCCTAAACTCATTTATCAAATGAACATTATTATATTATTATTTTAGAAAATCTTGAACTATTTTGTACGACAATTGTGTACACTGCTCGTTCAGAATAGACGACATACACAGTGGTTCCCTCGGGGAACGAAGAAGTACATATATTTATTTTGGGTTTGATCTTTGAGACCGCTATTAATTGTTCATTAAGCGCATGGCTGACAGGAATATGTTAACATTTGACGGCTTTATTGCTTAAATGAATAAAGATAACAGAGGAATGTTGTCTTCAAAGCTATTTTATTCGCTGACCTGTATTTTATACATTTTAAATTGATCTAAAATCAATGAAGGGCAACTTAATTCAATTATAGCATATTACAACCTGTCTATCAATATGCCATATTTTTATTTTTTGTTGTAATGAAATCATTCAAATGTGTATCACTTTTTTTATGCACTAAAGCTCAGTTGTTGTTTTTTTTACACCAAAAAGCAACAAATTTCGTGGGAAAAACTACACGTTTTTCAAAAGTTTTCCTAAAAGCCTGAGAAAACACTTTTTAATTATATTCCTTAAATTATTAAAAAAAATTAAGTTTAATATTTATGGAGAATAGCTTTTTATTTTATTTGCAAAAATAGTAGAATTGTTACATGGGGCAATACTACGAAATATTTCAAATTATAATATGTTTTTGAGGAAATATTTTATATTATATTAATACTTTATATCTCAAGGAAAAGAATGCCTTTAATTAGAATCATAAGCCTGGTTACCCACATATTCAATCACACAATCATGTCTATATCGGTGAATAAAATTAGTAAGCGGAAATCGAGTTACAGAAGATCTGCGGTCGAAAGAATTGTCATAATTACTCATGTAACAATTTGATGCACTATAAAGATTAACAACCGAGTATCTACTATGTTAATAAATCTGACACTTTAGAAATTTTTAGAAAATTTTCCCTAAATTCACTGTCGTTTTTCTCACGTTGCAGATCAAGAATGTATGCTTTGGCTGTTGTTATCTTTTGTATGCTGAAAAATACTGTAGAATCTAGGACAAGTAAGTAACACGTTTGTGAACATTTTTAACAGATATCATATATATGCTTCCTTTGTCAACATCGGAGTAAAAAATATGACGTTAGAAGCTGTGTCTGTTAAGCCTGTCTGTAACCAAAAATTATTTAACAAGGTATGATGTGCATTTCTCTATAAGAATTAGTGTAGCTTGGTTTTTTTTAGCGGGTTTCAAATTCGTTTTGAATCTTAGGTCCATGATTTTACAAAATGTGTTTCCAGAACAGTATCCGATTTTTATTTGACGATTATGATTTTGGACAATAAATAACAAACGGTGCAAAACACCAGGATTATACAGCCCGTGTAACCAGAAAAAACACAATTTATTATCACCAGTGATATGAGAAGTTATCAAAAATCCGCATGATTTTCAAATCAACTCCCTCTCGCTCTTTATTAAGTTGGTTGTGTGCTGGAATCTGTACCAGGGACACGGAACCAGTTTACAGTTCAAGTATCAACAACTGGCCAATCAAAAGTCTTCTACTGTGCCAATGGTACAGTGTTTGATCAACAAGCATGTGTTTGTGTCAACAACATGGATCCAAACAGTGAGTAATTTATTGTGCCTCATCCATCTGTGCTCATCAGTTTGTCTGTTATTTTTGTGCCTCATCCATCTGTGCCCATCAGTATGTTTGTTATTTTTGTGCCTCATCTATCTGTGCCCATCAGTTTGTCTGTTATTTTTGTGCATATCATCCATCTATACCCATCAGTATGTTTGTTATTTTTGTGCCTTATCCATCTGTGCCCTTCAGTTTGTCTGTTATTTTTGTGCCTCATCCATCTGTTCCCATCAGTTTGTCTGTTATTTTGTGCAATCATCCATCTGTGCCCATCAGTACATGTATGTTTGTTATTTTTGTGCATCATCCATCTGTGCCTATTTGTATGTCTGTTATTTTTGTGCACATCATCCATCTGTGCCCATCAGTAAGTCTACTATTTGAGCCTCATCCGACTGTGCTTATGTCTGTTGTTTATGATGATGTTAATTTCTCCGTATCCATGAGCGAATTTCAACAAAACTTTAGACATTCATCCCTGGGTTATGGAGAGTCAAATTGAATGTCATGCTACTCTATTCCTCTTTCACAAGAAAAAATATAAATGGTTGAAATCCGTCACGGTAGCTCAGTCGGTAGAGCGCTCGCTCCGTGATTGGAAGGTCGTGTGTTCGAATCGCGACTGACTTAAGTCGATAAAAAAAGAGGTAGCAACTGTTCCTTCGCCAAGCGCTCAGCAGCTTCATTCGGATGAGACCTTAAAAACCGAGGCCTCATGTCACGGTAGGCGTTGGCACGATAAAGAACCCTCACTGCTCAATGGCCCTGAGTGCCGAGTAAAGCTCTAAATTTGAAGCCCTGCACCGGTATATGGTGACGTCTTTCTATGAGTGAAAAATTCTCGAACGGGACGTTAGACAACATACAATCAATCAATAAATGGTTGAAATAAGGTATGGTAATTAGAAGTATACTTCTCAAGTACCCCGTGCCAGAAAAGACAATTTGTATGGAAGCTTTCTTATGTACCATATAGATCATTTTTTAAAAAAATATACATGATTTCTCTTTTTTGCTTTTTGCCGATTATAAAAGCATGGTTTCAATGTGTCAAATAATATAGTAGATTAAAACATCCCGCTGTAATGCTTATTCAGTTTAAGTTGAGCCTACAGGCTTAAGGGGACAGAATGTGGTCACAAAAGGGGGCACCAATTCACAGTTCTTTTTTGAAAAAAAAAAAAATTATATATTCTATAAAAGCAGAATCGCAGTAAAATAAAGATGAAAACAGTCCCATGTAGGTTTGAAATTTGTTTTTGGAAATCTTAGGCCTGGAGTAAAGGAGTAGTCTACAATTGGAGATAATTGACGATTTTTTTTTGGTAAGGATATGATATGTTACAATGTAAATTTTTGAAATTCCAGTAGACAAAAACTACAGGACTTCAATAACAAGATAATGTGCAAGAATTCATATGCAGTCTAGTTTACATTAGATCAAACTATGCTTCCAATGGGCCCGAGTTGAGCCAAAATTGGGTAAATCTTAATTTTTTGTTTGCTTGTTTGTTTAACGTCCCGTCGAGGATTTTTCACCCATACTGAGACGCCATCACTTGCCGGTGGAGGGCTGCAAATTAAGGCCTGTACTTAGAACTTACGCCCTTTGAGCAATGAGGGATCTTTCTCGTGCCAGCACCTATTGTAAAACGGGACCCCTGTTCATACGGTCTCATTCGAATGACCGGTCTCCACGTCATACAATCATACATTTGATTCGAACCTGCGACATAAAGATCAACTCCTTACTCCGCGACTCTACAGCATGCACTCTAAACACTGCGCCATGCGGGCGTACATGTACATTGTAAAAAGACTTTCTCACCAATAAGACTACAATTTTACCTGATTTTTTTTTATTTTTTAGAAATAAGTGAGCTTACTGTAGATAAAAAAAAATTGAAAACATATATGTTCAATTCAAAGTAACACTAATTGCTCTCGTCATCTTTTCTTTTGTTAAAATGTCGAATATTACTCGAGTAAATGTTGTTGCCCTTGGTTATGATGATTTTAACCTCAGCATTTAAAAAGAAATGCCAAATTTAATCGTTTTCTTTTCAGTGAGTCCAACAGCTCCTCCTATTCGTCGCTCAACAAGAACTTCTCTGGACTTTCTTGGTCCTACCACGGTTCCACGTGAGTACTAAACTCCATAAATAGAACCTACACTCCTACAAATAGATCTCACGCTTCTTTGTAAAACTGCCAGCGTGCGGCCAGTTCTTGTCCGTACGTTGGACAGTATGTAACAGCTATAACGTCTCTAAGCAGCACTTGCTTGCACTGAATCATTACATAGAACCCAATTTTAGACCACTGCTTCTCACATTCTGCTTTACCCTTTGACAAATAAAATAGAAGGTTTGCTTAAAATAATTATGCATAGATTGGAAGTAAGGATCACAGAGTATAAAGGCAGGTAGGTTGACAGATCTTCGATTATTTTTGCAGCATGTATGTTCAAACCGGATGTAGACCGACATTATTACCTAGAGCAAGTACATATGTCTTCCTGGAAGAGGAGGCCGTGTGCTTACGGCACGCTTTTTAATGAGGAGAAATGCATGTGCATAGACCGGGCACCTATATCTACCTCAAGTAAGTCACGTGACTTAGTGACATTGTGTAATAAACCCTAAAATTCGGAGCTACTAGTATTCATTCAATGTCTGGTGAATTTGTTGGCCCTTTTGTTTAAACACTAACACCAGGTAATATTCTTTTCGCAAGTACACGGTATGGGGCTTAGTAAATTTTCTAAGATTTTTGCTGCCTGTTCTGAAAAAGATTAGTTCTAACCGCATGAGAGTAGTGGCAAAATCGTATTTTCGTAGTTGCATGTCGGGAATAATAATAAAAAAAAAATGCATGTTAGAAATTTAACTTTGTTAGAAATAAAAAATATAGTTTCAATACACAGAAAATAATAATTGAAAAAAAATTTAAATGACAGCATTTTAGTGCTAAACGTGATTAAAAATTTCATAACCTCTGATCTATTTTTAATTCATATTTCATGGACAACTGAATGATTTTGATCAATATTTTATCTGGTATATTTTGTTTTCAGTTTGTAGACCCAGTTTTGCATTAGATTTTGATTCCAAACCTATCCGAGATACTTCAAATATGCAAGTTTATCTAAGTAATGAAGGCGTGGAATCAGTTGTGAAGTCTGGGCAATTTAACAAACAAGCTCGTCTTCACATACCCATGTTCTCCTGGATAGGTCACAAGATGACCATCAACTTCCGGTTTTTCGAGTGGAGCGGTGGGGACAGAGAACAAACACTTATTGCAAATTGTTATCATTCAAATGCTATGTCAAGTGGAATGGGTTCTATCGAAGTAATGCTAAAAGACGAAACCAAGGAAGTTATTTTCCGAATAAAAACGACACAGTCACCGATGCGGGAAATAGCTGTTCCGTATCCTGTAAGTCACGTGACATTACTTAGTCCAAATTATTATGTATATTATGTATATCGGTTAATAGAATGTGTCGCTTATATATGACATAAATATTGGTAGCATTCTGAGAAATGCATAATGCTTAAAATTATGAACAAAACTATTATTTCCCTAGACAAAAAGCTGGAAAAATGTTACCTTGACATATGATGGAAGATATTTCAGAGGGCAAGTGAATGACCGAGAAGCCACAGTTCAAGTTAGAGGTACTTTTATTGAGTTCCTATGAAATATCAGTATATTTTTTATTCCACTTACCTTTTTATTAAAACAAATGAAAGCTTTTTTGATAAACCAATTTTCATGCTAAAGTTGTACGTAGTAGGACTATTTCTTTCCATTTGAAAAGGGTGGAAATATACATTAAAAAAGTCGTTGTTATATTTATGATTTAAGGAAATATCGAAAGCCGTGCTGAGGGATTTTACATAGGGCAGTGCCCAAGAAGAGCTGATGGCTCAAGACGAGCCTATGTTGGCTATATTGATGATGTGAGTTATATCTGTTTCTTAATTGAAGACATATTGTAAACAAAATGCCTATAGGTCACAACATTCACCCGAGTCAAATGTCCTTATCTTACAATGAAAAAGTGAAACTCTTAATATGGTTCAGTATTTCTTATAAAACGTGTCAAAGTAACATTTTTACAACCAATATAATTAAGCACTTTTTTTGCAATATCAATGGCATATTTGACTTTTCCATTACAGCTTAAGTTTTATAAATGTGTCCGGCCAGATATTCGTAATCCAGGATTGCCTTAGACTACTTAACTGAAATCCAGTAAATGGATAATCCTTCAGTGACAATCTGTGAATGACAGTTAACCTCAGTTATCCGACAGAAGTTTTCCGAGGAATTCCCGAAAAGTCACGTGGATGAACCATGTCTATTTATAGAATGCCGTGTTTGATTTTCTTGGTGTTTGAACTGTACGATACTAATTTATTGGGACAGTACTTAAGTTGTTGTGTATTGTCAGTGCAGCATGGTTGTGATACTCAGGTACCTTTAATGTGACAATGTTTCTGTCTGCTGTTTGTATTGTGTAAACATTTTTCTATCGATGCGTTATTTGTTCTAGTTGTAGAACGTATTAATTTAATTGTAAATACAAACTTATTTGTTGATGATACCTCATTGAAAAACAGTGACTACTATTTTTGCAATTCCCAATTAAAAGTTAAACATTAAAACTATTTTTTCAGAGAGTCGTTAATTTACATTATGTACATGATGATTTGTGTAACGAAAATGGTCAGATATCAATCGTTTTGAAATTTCTTGTCTAATTTGATTATAAATTAATTGTCTTGACTTCTGTTGCTGAAACAATTGGTACAATTACTGACAAATCTCAATTTAAAAAAAAGACATGAAAAACAAAATTTCTAAAATGTTAAATTGTATGCACTCCTCGTTAAAATACGAACGTGAATAATACTAATTACATTGTGTAAATGAAGATGCATGTTCGCTTTATCATAATTTCTTTGTCAAATAACCAAATCAAATTTTAATAAAATTATAAAATAAACAACTTAATCAGAATTATTTATTCAATAAAATGAGGAGTTGGCATTTATCCATGTCCATTTGTTAATTTCAAAAAAGTAGAGGCATTAAGAAAATCTTCTATATGCGAAACGTTATTTGAAGAATTCGTAGTCAGGAGAGCATTCTCTTCTCTGTACCAGTTATCATGTAAAAAAAAAAGTTCATTTGAAATATCCCTCGATGGTCACTTGATTTATTCTCTCAATTAAAACAGAGTTTAAAACACATTAAGTATGTAATGGAGTTGTTATTTATGGAGTAATTTGTATATATAATTGATGTGAGTTTTATATAAATTATACGTGTTAACTACTTAAGCTAAACAGGATGATACAGGATAGTTGATAAGTGTTTGTCTGGGAGCATTAACCTTGGATATTTATTGCCTCCACCTGCTTTTGATGTAGGACACGGTGCTACACTGAAAAGATGTCCAAACCACAGAGGTTGTGCAATATTCATTGCTTTCAAATGTAAAAGGAAAAATTCTAAATAATTAATTATCAATGTGCCACACCTAGTTCCAGCCTGTGGAACGTGTACCAGTATCTTTTGTTTGTCATTACTGTTGGCTTTATCATCACCAAACAAAAAAATGCAAAGGATTAAAACCATGAACTATAAAAGTTCAACATAATTTATTCGAAAACTGGCACTCATCAGCAAGGAATCCTATGAATTTATATACATCTAAATCAACTGCATATCTGTGGTCTTTGATAAAAAGCAGAATGGTGTTAGAAGAATGACTTCTATGTGTGATCAAAAAACTCCACTACATCCGCAGGCAAACAGCTATAGAACCACTGGAACTAAACCGCAGAGGGAAAATATTAACTAGTATTACAGTTGTATATTTAGTCTCTTAAACAAATATTCCTTTCTTAATAACAATTGTACACCACATAATTTTTCAGTTGAATCCTAGTGGTTAAAATTGCATTTCTTTGGTGGAAGATGAGATAAAACACTATAGGGGAGTACTTACAAAGTCAACTGTTCCTTCAAAAGGACTGAATTCCCTCTCTACCCCTCTCCCAAGATAAAGAGGGGAGTTGCAGTGAAGATGAGGTTCAGCTGCAAGATATATAGAAATTATAAAATTACAATTTCTTTATTCATAGGACAGGAAAGCCTACAAGCCTCATACTTTTTGAATACATTAGAGCGGGTAGCATATTTACTTTCATGTCTATTTAAGGAAAAAAAAAACAATCAAACAAACAAAACAAATAAACAGACGAAACAAAACCAAAAAAAAAAAAAAAAACATTCGGAGAAAAATACCCCCCCCCCCCCAAAAAAAAAAAAACAAAAAAACAAAATCACGTTAAACCTGAAAACATGTCAAAATTAACATTTGGTAATCTTTTAAATGTATAAACGTTATATTAGTTTCTAAATACGTTATCATTTTTATACTAACCTTGAAGTGTCATTGTGACGTCACTTTCACGTATTGCAGACCTTAAATTGCCATCATCATACATGGTCCACATGGCAACTTTATGTCCCATTGACGCCAAAGTCAGTGTTGTCTGACGTTCGTATCGTAGGGCCTTCAAAATTGACAACAAACTGATAAGAAATGGAGTCCAAACTTCTTTAAATTTCTGAAAATTTCTTATTTACCCCCCCCCCCTCCCCGAAAAAATAATTCAGGAAAATCAGAGCTATAAAGTTGAAAGAATTTTTGCCATATAATTATCTAGCAATAAAAACATTTAATATTTTGAAATGAATGGATGGAGAGGGATGGTTAAAACAAAGTATATATGACAAGCCTAATACTTAAATTTAGATGTATCACATAAAAAAAAGTATACACGAAGTATTTACAGGGTTCGTTCAGTTCTTCTTATACTAAATTAATCCTACAAAATTTCTCATTTTAACGTAGAACCTACGTCGTATGACGTCATACTGAGAAAATTAGTTTAGACTGTCTTTTTGGTGCTAGATCCATTATGACGTCATAATTAATTTAATATTACTTTTTCCTGTACTTTCTTCAAGAATGTCTCATGTAATGAAGTTACACAACTGTGATAATGTGAATGACATGCAACTATTTTGAAATCAAAAATCCTAAGAAATCTAAATAGTACAATTTCTTGATGAAAAGTGTCTGAGTCAAAGATCTGTTAAAAATTGTGTGTAAATTTTGTAATGTCTATCATTAAATGACGTGCATTCCCTTTCATAATTATTTGTGAATTATTCATAATGGTTGGTGTATAATAATAATGTTTCCCGAAAATATTATCTTTTTAAATAAAAAAAAAAATACATTTTTTGATAAATATTCACATTGTAAATCTGAATGTAACCCCAAAACAGTAATTTAATAATTAAATCCTGTGTAAGTGCAAAAAGGTCAACAAAAGAAGTATGGATAAATAGAGTGTTCTCATTCGTTTGCGGGGAAAGGTATATATTTTAATCACTTTTTGTAATTATTTGGGTATGTTCTTCATCATATTAAAGATTGAAAACATTCTGACAAAGACTTTTGAAAAATATTTACAAATTTAGGTGGTAAATTGACTAAAAAAAATATTGAGCACATTTGCCCATATTTGTTGAAATGTGGACTTAATCTTTTATGTCAATTGAATAAAAAAGAATTTATTCTTGAATAATATTGCTTAATATGGTTCAGTTAATAAAGTCTATAAATGACGATGTTTAAAGAAGTATTTTAGTGATTTTATTATATTCTCTTTATGACCAGTACCCCTAAAAATGGCTGAAAATATGTAGTCGCTGTGTAAAATTATCCTTCCAAGTTGCACAGACTGCACTACATTTAATAACGAAGAAACATACCATATATTTTTAACTGATTGATAAGCGAGAGCTAATTTAACTTTTTGAAAAGTTTGAAAATCTTGTGCCAAAGACTTTTCCGACATAGGTTCTATCTTAAGACTTTACAAAATTTACCATAGATTGTAGTTGTAATTTGACGTATCCATGAGCAGTCTTTATTTCTGCTACCACTCCCAATAACCCATTTATTTTCTTTAAGTGCACTCTAATACTCGGAAGGTCTGTTTCCTGGCAGTTGGAGTTTTCAAACAGTAGCATGTCCTTGTATTTGGGCGTTTTCATTGAAATCTTGACCGCAAAGTCATGGGCGTAATGATTAGCCATGTTTCTTATAGATAACATGGTCGTTCTCCCATCGAACACTCCCTGTCCATCTTTTAGGGTGACATTCCAGAGCTGAATGGATGGGCCATTAAATTGGAGGTCTATGTCTGCTTTACACTTGTCTGTTTTCACTGACAGAAAATATCATCATGACAAAATAAATAATGCCAATGGATATTTTGACAAGAAATTGAAATAATACAGTCTAATACAGTCCTTAATTACTTATACATCATACCTTTGCTGAAAGGCAGATGCAATCCAACAATACAAAATAAATTTTGCAGTGAAATAAATCATATGCTGAAACCAAGATTATTCTGTTATACCTTTAACAATTTCCATCATACACTGACACTTCTCGTGGCTATAAATATAGTTTGTAGGGCACATCTGTTCCTTGTTTGTTTTGATGTTAATGTATTTTTCTTTGGATGATGCTGGCCTTTTATAACATTCCCATGTTTCTGAATGTTAAAGGTAATCTTTAAGTAAGTCATAGCGCTATGAATCAAGCATGTGTTCATAATCTTTAATCTTGTCAATTTATACAATTCTCTACCATTTAAAAGACCATTTAGACCAAAAAAGGTAGCAGGAAATTACCGGGTTTGGTAACCTTCTGGTGGTTTTTGTTGATGAGGGTGAAGCATTCGCCTTTTGTGTCATCCACACAATGGTCCGAAAGTGGATCATACTTCCTGTGAATAAGAATATTTCCTGCTTGCCTTTCTCCACAAGTACACAACTTCTTGGTGCGGCCATTGAGGCATGTGTAGAACTGATCACATTGATTCTCCTCTAACAACCTAACGGTGGTGTAGTTATAACCGTCAGGCCGCAAGTAACAGGGATCTGTTAATTCAAAAAGTCAAGGAAAAAATGAAAATCAAATGTCTATCAAACTATACAGTTTCTTCGATGAGAATCATTTAATTGGATGTACCATTGTTTGCATTCATTTTCAAAATTGTTAACCTTAAAAAGGGAACACCCAAATATATTGGGGAGATTAGTGATCTGACATACCATATTGACAATTGGCAGTCATGGGTGGCTGGCAGGTTTTTGTGGTAGGGTCCCAGAATTTATTAGGGTCACAATGTTCAGAGGACTCAAGCTTTGAGTTCAGACAGATGTGGTATCTACTGCAGTCGAAGGGGTCAGGAATTATCACCTTACCAACACATTTACACCTCGCACACAGCTCTGTAAACACAGTATACAGAAATTCAGAGCATTTATAAAAAAAGTTAATAACACTACAAACACTGTCAACGACTGATTCATTTTTTCCCCAAATTATTCCCATCATATCTTAACCACAAAATGCTAATGCACAAAAAAGGAAGAATTTGTACCGAAGTATCTTACAAGCACCGATAAATGTCCTGGTTAATGTAAATTAAAACGATAAGAATGACAAACATTATTAAGTCTGTAGATGAACGCATTGCATGGCATTTAAATACTGTGAGTTCAATTAATTTCTTCATGAACAGAAAAATAAGTTTTTGCAATTCTGAAAAGCAATGAAATTCACAGAAAAAATTTAATGGATTGTACTAATTGCAAACTGGGTTGGTAAAACAACAATAGCGAAAATATTACATGAAAATTAGATTCGCGGTTTTTTTTTTGTACACTTACACGTCTCTGTTTAAAATAAAAGTACTGGTTTCTTGCATTGCAAACCCTGAAACTGCCAATTACTATAGAAATATCAATTAAAATATACAGAGTTTTAGCAAAACTTAAAGAACTGTCTTATAAGTTTACCTTCGGGATCGTTAGGGTCTTTCGTTATTACAGTCGGAATGGCAGTCGTAGAAAGATCCCTTCCTTCAGTAACTAAAGAAGAATAAAAATAAAGATGTCGAAATTAAAACTCATTATTGTTAATCTTCATTTATTATTTGTGTTCATACATATTACAATGATACCGGTAGTATTACAAGTAAGGAGATAATACGTTTAGTGTTGACACTTTATAGTGCTTACACGAATCAAAACAAGGTCTCATGATATTACGTCCATAAAATCATGTGATTGCAGAACACGCCCTACCTCTGCAGATCCTTTCGTGCAGGACTTGAGTACCGTTCAATAAAAACGAAGATAATGTTTTCAACCATAAGAAGTTGTCTGTTACATTATTGGCCACATCCATCAGTTCGGTATAGGATATGTCTGTAGGTCCCCCTATTCCCATAGCCACCATTGTGATGTTGCTTTTTACCGCGGCTGCAGCAGCTTCCCGAGTTTTTTGGGGCTTCATGGATTTTCCATCCGTTATTACAACTCCAATTTTTCTGGCATTTCTTTTTGGTTCTTTTTAATTAAAAAATTATCATAAATATGTCTACGTACATGTATACGCAACATTTTGATATATTCTCTCGTCTGCGAGCATACTAAATTAACAATTTTTCTGGTAACAATTCGTTAAAAAATAGCTTACACAGTTTATAAATTGGATCTACCTGACTCCAGATATTCCGTTAATCGTCTGATAGCTAAGTCTATCTTTGTCATTCCTTTGGTATGAACAGCCCCGAGTATAAGTTCCCGTAAAAGAATCTTATTGCTGACATCTTCTGCCACCTCCTGGATTCTGTCATCAAATGTGATAATTCCGCGAACTCTGACGTCATTCTCAGATAGCTTCATGTTACTGACAGTGTTGGCTACAGTCTGCTTGATTGCGTTGAACATTTCTGTCGTCAGACTTCCAGAAGCGTCCATGGCAAACGCAATGTCAACTAAACCTGTACATTCTATAGAAAAAAAAAACCCCTTAAAACGATCAATATCAATGCCATTCTATGCTTTGTATGACTTAAATTGTAGTTTGGCAGCTATAAAATATGACAACATTAATACCCTCCAATATAACTGTTGTATCTGGTGTTGATATCGTTGATGGTATTGTCGTTGCTGAAGTGATCGTCTTTGTAACGTACAAATGCAACGGCTCCACTGAGGAAAAAAAAACACGAATTTATAATAACCAAAATAAAGATCTATGTTGACTTGCGACTGAATTTAGAAATAAGGTAAATATATCAACTGACTGTTTTCAAATGTTTGTATTGTCCATGAAAATCCATCTGTGTCGAGTTTCTCCCAGTTCTGAATCTGTAAGTAATGATCATTCTTGTTTTTGGTGATGTGTTCCAACTCAAGCTTGTCAGCATGGGCACCTACACCAATGGACATCAAGTTAACACCCTTTGACCATGCCCTCGATGCAGACGACATCAAATCAACGTCATTATCCGTGTCGTCATCCATTAAAATGAGGCCGATTTTTGCAGCTGTTGACATAGTGGTATCAATTAAGCCATGTAGGTTGTTGATGATTACACTAGGTTTGGACTGGATTGACGGATGTTTTGAATAAGCATCAATACTTCGTAGATAAGACACCAACATCTGACTCTGGAAGTCAGAATATTCTATGACATTTCTTATAATATCAGAAAAGGTTACAACTCCGTATTTGGAAAAACGATCTGACATTCTTGACGTTAAGAACTGGGTAGCAACTTTCATCCAATGCATTGCATCATTTGAAACCATAGAATCAGCATCCAGGGCAATCATTATGTCAAATTTTCCTACAAATATTAAATAACTGTATTAAAAATCAGATACTATCGATTTTTGAGAAATCATTATCAGTTTTGTTTAATTTTCCCTACCTTCTGGTAAGACAGACTGTATAGTGCTGTTAACAATATTCATTGCGTCTGGACCGACATCTCCGAGTGCATAAAGGGGGAGATTATAAGTAAAGGTGTCTGGATACGAGTCAATTCCTATAGGTATTGTTACAAAGTGAACACCATCTAACCTGGCTTCTCGAAGAGCGATATCAGTCCACAATATGTCAGTTGGTTCTTTGTCAAACATCATCAGTACTACCTGCGAAAAGTTTTGTGTTTTTGATTCTTTCATTCTTTGATGTAGATTCCTTATCGTTAGATGAAGTGGAAGGCTCTGAGGTGTGAGTGAATCTTGAGAAAGCGTGTGTCGTGAGCTTTGGCGTGTGAGTGTGTATACACGCTGCATGACATCTGACAATGTGTTCTGATTAAGATCCTGGCGAACAAACTCAGGGATGTAATATCTGTTGTACTGTCCGAATGTCAAGTAGTAGTTACTTCCACTGGACCACAATTTGATGAACATATTTATCATCACCTTAAGATTTTTAATATCAGTTTCTGACACATTCAATGAGGAATCTAGGGCAACAGATATATGTGTAGCCTTTTTTGAGTCCAAATCTATAAAAAAAAAAAAAAAACGCAGGAATATATGAATCAATATTTATAATATTCAAAGATTTTTGCCAGCAGTAAGGAGCAGGGAAAAAAGCTTACTGACGGATCCCATTATTTTTTTAACTGACGAGATTGCTCCTATGATGTCGGCTGCTGATGACAGTTTTGTAATATGTTCGATGTCTCCTGTTATTACTTTTAATTCCTCGTCTCTGATTCTGTCTACTCCAAATCCTACAAAAATGTCATCAATAAATTCTTATTTCATCTTATATTAAGGAAAAATAAACCAGGTTCTGTAACTAAATATGAGCGAGATAAGCTATATAACTATATTATATATTATTTTAATAATTATGGATTGATTGATTGATTGATTGTGTGTTGTTTTACGTCCCGTTCGAGAATTTTTAACTCATATAGAGACGTCACCATATACCGGTGAAGGGCTTCAAATTTAGACCTTTACTCGGCACTCAGGGCCGTTGAGCAGTGAGCGTTTTAATTGTGCCAAAGCCTACCGTGACGCTTACCGGGTTTTTTTTTAAAAGTCTCATCCGAACGACCCACAACTTTCACTCCAAAGTGCCGAATGCTTGGCAATGGAACAGTTGTTACCTATTTTTTATCGACTTAGGTCAGTCGATAAAAAAATAGGTAGCAACTGTTCCCTCGCAAGCGGAATGCATGTATATGGAATATATGTTTAAAATAAATATAATTCTAATGTACCAAGAGCAAACATATGGACATTGGCATCCTTCAGAAGTCTTGCTACAGAGTGGGTTGCACTGGGCACAGATGATGGTCCTTTTGCAATCAGGAATCCAATTCTATTTTCGGAAGGATCTTCTGAATAAAGAAAGCTCAACAGAATGCCATGAAGGCCAGCATGTGTATTCCGTACGTCATCATTCAATACACGGTGTCTGTGTTGCTGAATGTCAGACAACATTTTCTTCTCGAGACTTGAAGTAGTTTCCTTGTTATTCATGTTCTGTAGTTCTCTGACATAAAGCTTCAGGTAATTCTTCAGAAGATCATCAGTTAGATCCATACTTGATGCTGAGAGGAGTATATCTTTCCTTCTGCCGGTCACTGAAAAATAATAGAGAATATTATCAACAAAAATGTCAGGATACTTAAAGAGCACACCATTCCTGAAAGTCGAAAACCAATTACAATTTTTGAAATAACGTACAGTATTTTTTCAAAACATTCATAGTTTGTTCGGCCCCGTGAGTTCTTAGCTCCGACCAGGAGATATACAAAGGCGGTATCGCTGTATTCATGAGGTCCACTTTCTCTTTAAGACCCTCAATAGTAGCATTTGCATGATACAAGACAAGAGGCATAATCAAAATATTTTTTTGGTTAGCCTCTTCCATGAGCCCAACAAGATCTCCCTCCATAAAGGGATCAGCAATGATGACAATGGCAATCTTGACGTCAGATTCTACATCTTCATACACATTTAAAACCTCCCTGATGACGTTTTCAGTTGTCCACTTAAGTTGCGTGATCACTCCCCCGCGCTGGAGACCGTATGGTACATGGAAGGTGATCTGGTAATCCTTGATGCTGCTGATATAGTTGATGTCGGTACAGTATGTAGCAAGGGTCAGTTGGACGTTATCAGATCCCATGTGAATGTTTCTAACAACGTTTTCCAGAAACGTATTATATTTGTTGAATTTTTGTGCGTTAAATAAGTGAGGACAGTGACTGTACCCTATCAGTATTTCTGCAGGTCCGTGAAACACTGAAAAAAATTACAAGAGATTTATTTGATGCAAATGTTTTAAAAAATAATGTCAAAGTCTTTTCATGTCTAGAAATTCATAACAAAATATGTACTTATTTATGATTACGAGCTTACCTTGATGTGTGACATTCCCTGAAACAAAACAGAGTATCAAATAAAGAACAAAAGAACACTTCAGTGTCGATCATGATTAACAATATATACATCTAAAAGAATGACTTCAATTTAACATACTTACGTGGCACTGGATTTTTCAAAACTTCTGAAGGTAGAAAGAAAAAAAAAACAATAATGCAAACGAAAATTATTAAATACATGTAACAGAATACTTCGGATCTTAAATTAGATGAATAACTTATACATTGGATTTATTAAATTTTATGTTTCTCTCAAGAATACAATTTTAGTATATACAAACCTTACCTGTACCAATTGCTCTCACAACATTGTTCAGTCCACTTGTCAGAAGTGACTGGTTAGAAACGATGATTCTGTTTGCAACTTTAAAATTAGCTAAAGCAAGACTTAAATCTGGATTTACAGCAAAACCCATTCCAACATACATTATCTGTACATTGCTAGATTTTGATTTTGAGTTAAAGAAAATCCTCATAGAAGCAAAGCTGCTCTTATGTAGTGGTTTGTCTGAGATAAACAATGCGATTTTAGAGGAGTCGCCTGGCGCATACAGGAAGTCGCTCTCCACTTTTTTGTAAGCCAAAACAGCGTCAAAATACTTGTGTTCTCTGATCATCATGTGGTCTAGGAACTTTCGTACTTCAATTAAACTGGCCGTTTCATCAAAACGCCCAATAGATGCTGCTCCATCCGCTAATGTGGCAATTATAAGATTCATTGAGGGGTTGCCGAACTCAATGTATTCTAGGAGTTGGGATATAAACTCCTTTATCAGGTCGAGGCTCTGAATCGTGACGTCAAATACAATAGTGAGAAGGTAACGTCCCCGGATTTCTGAGATAAAAATCCAAAAATAGTCTATTAGTTTTAAATTTTTCGAAGAACGTAATTTTTTTTTTGTATTCTGAAACCTGCATTCCTTATGTTTGTCTAAAAAAGTGTAGGAATGCATGAACCTATCAAATTAAACATGTTCAAAGTGTCAGGGTTTTTTTTTTTTGTTTTCGCCTTACCTCCTGTTCTCCTAGCTCCATCTTGAGAAACTGAAAAAAAAATGTGTTTCATTCAATTAGGTAGCATTTCAAAAGCTCTACGTTCGTTACAGGTAAAGACCAAAATCGTGATATGATTTCCCTTATACAATATATACTACAAATCCTAAACTCACGGTAGCAGATTTGTTCTACTACTTGGTCGAGGGAACTGGCGAGTTCTTTGTATGGGATAATTCGTTGGTGTTCTTTAATTCCATGAGTCATGTTATTCAGCTCAGCTGGGGACAGGTTCCTTTCCTCTCCGACTCCGACAGCCATAACATAGACATTATTTCTATCGGCATACATGGCTGACTTGTGAAGTAGTTCGATGCCGCTTGTGCTTTTCCCATCAGTCAATATCAGAGCGACCTTTGGGACAGCTGGGTCTAGAAAAGGACTACTAGACAACATGTCCGTCATGTTTCCTGAAATGACACACTGGACAGTCAGTAATTTCTATTCTTCTTCAATAACATGTTCTTGTTATTTGCAAAACAATCACAAATTCAAATTAAACATATCTTTAGCTATTTCATTTAAAAAAAAATAAAAAATGTATTGAGCTGATCTTGTTTCTTATTTGAATATCTTTTGACTAATTACGTAAATTTATTGAGTCAAATTGATTCTAGTATATCAAAGAGTATCAACAATATAACATGCTTTAATACGAACAAGGGTCCCTTATGCAGAAATACTTACCAATAGCGTAGTCAATTCTGGTCTGGTAGTTTCTATTCGAGTTGTACATCATGATTTTATCGCTATTCAGTTCCCCAAAGTCAGTGACAATTTCAACATTCTCAGCGAATGCCACCGTGGCGATGGTGTGTGGATACATAAACCGTTTGACCAGACCGTTAGCTGTGAAGTTCTTGATTTGGAGGAACTGTATAGAGGTCAAGCTTGAGGAGGAGTCCATAGCAATGACCAAACTGACCCGTCCATCACAGAAAGTTTCTGCTAATGTATATTATACTACGTTTATTTTGGTACTGTCTCCGTAGCTCATTTCCAGAATTAAAAACAAAGTCACCACAAATAGTCAAGTAATATCAATCCTGTATTTCTCTTTAATGTATGCTTACCTGCTAGTGTGTGTTTTGTGTTAATAAAAATAATACTGATGAAAGACAAGAATAACCCGGGAAACTGCATCCTGAACCTGATGTTAAAAAAAAAAAATTAATTTAGTAACATAGGACATTTTTAACTTCTTCATTTTCTCTTATATGTTAAATTTAATTGAGTATAGAAATATATACCTTCACTATTGATTTCCTATGGTTATGACATACTCTTCTTTTCTCTTCTGTATTCTTCTGTCGTCTTTGACGTCTACAATCTAACTGACTTCAAACCACTGCACTGGGATTTCAAGTCCCAGATGTGAGTACGGAATTCTTTTCGGCAATTCTTTAAGTTTATCTGATTTAATTGTTATGCAGAAATGTACATGTGGATTTGACAAATTACACATATTATGTTTAAAGTAAAGCAGGGTAAAGATAAGAAGAAGGTAGAAAACCTGTAGAAGAAAGAAATCCCGTACTTTAAAATGATTTATGCGAATAAATACGGCATATAAAGAAAATCTGGCAAGAAGTCGTTTTTAGATACTACAAACATGTACAGCTAATTTCCCAAGAAATTCATATTCTACAGCTTTCAGTTTTAAAGTTTTCAATTTTATCAAATTACTTGCCCATTAGGCACTTGCAATTGCATACATATAAACGTACGAGGAAGATTGTTTTTCGATGAAATATTAATTGTTGAAGTCGCAAAGAAGAGGTTCTGTGTGGTTTGGCCTACGACGCACCTTAGGGAGTTAAGAAAAGATTAATAACAAAATACGAGATGAGGATTCAGAACTCCGAAATTTGACAAATTCTAAATGTTAAGGATGGGCAATTTTAAACACTTTTTAACTTCGATTTTAAACGTGTGTAATTTTAAACACTTTCATTTCTTCTGTACGTATCAAAAATTAGAATTATTCAGATGACTTCAGTTTTAAATAAATTTATTACATTATACAAAAAAGGAGCAAAATCGCAAACTTATTCAGCGTTTTGGTTTAAATCTAAACCTAACCTTCTATATATTTAGTCTTATTAGCTATTTTTTTCTTTTATAATGTGGATACCTACAAATACTCCATGATTTTGTTTTTCAAAACATCTAACGACAAAGTCCATGGCCAAAAAACGTTTTATCCTCTTAAATCTTATCTGTTATTTAACTCAAAATGCAAATGTAAAAGTCTTTTATTGAGTTTAAGAATTAACATGAAAATTACTATAGTTAATGATTTGAAAGAAATAAATTAGGAGATAATAATCGCTGTCCTTTGTAAGATGGATTCCTGGTAAAGGTAAATTTATTACATACACAAAATGAATTGAAAATCCTTGTAGAAAGCATACTTTCACAGTAAATTTTGCATTTGCATCACTTTGTGTTGATAAATTTAATGTAAATAAAGATATAAAAACCTAGAAAAATGCTTAGCGGGAATCACAGGTTTTGTTTCCTATATGAATTATTAAGTTAATGAGCGCAAGGATGGCTAAATTTGTATTTTTTGTACTTCAACTAATATCAGGGACTGATAATAAAACGTTTACTTAGAGGATTTAAAAAGTTTTTTTTTTTATAATAGTCGGTGAATGTACACTTTGTTAACCTGTCCGTCCTGTTATAAACAAGGAGCCATACACTTCTTTATCAGATGATTAACGCCCCCGGGCTAACCTGTTATCAATACAAAACTACGTAGATCTTCGTTAAATATTTAATTTCTCTTTCTACGATGTAAATTTGACATAAAAATGTACAACATCCAGAAATTCAAGAACGATTAGTTATGATATAAATAATTTTAATTCTTTCCTATAAACAATGTATTTGCTTACAGATAAAAACATAAAAATCAAAATAATGTAATATTGATACCGATTTTTAAAGAAGTTTAGAGGTACTGCACAATTTTTTAATTTCTTTTTTATTTTATGAATATCAATTTATCAAAAAGAATACAGATTGAACACATTTTCTATCAACAAAAGAACAGATTTGAAACATTATGGAAAGTTTACAACGCCAAACATCTTAGCCATTACTGTAAGTTATACCAAATACTCTGTAAAAAATAAAATCTTTAACAGATTCCCGTAACATGAAATAACTGTAACATAGCTATCATTTAATGAAAATATTCTCTTACTACACAAAACCAATTAACATGTTATTGAATTGTAAAAGACATATTTCAAACAGAGGTCGAAGCGAAATTATACATTGTCCAATCAATGTCAAGATACAAGATCAGATGTAATATATGATGTACGAAAATCACATGACTTTGATGGCCCAATCATCTGGACTGTTCCATATTAACCAATCACACGGTAGATGACAGATTCACAACAGGTATCACATGGAAACCAGTAAATTCTTGACGTAATCGCTCACACAGTTGTATACCTCGAACTGGATAAAATTAAATAAACATGAGGGTTATCTTAATATATCATACTGTTAAACTCCATTTTGGATGAATTATTTTTGCTTCAAAAACTTTGTTTTACTTAAAGATTCTATATGAATAACTCTCGTTGATTAGCCTATATATCCTTCCAAAGACATAGAAATACTAACAGTATTCTTCATAGACTTTATTTTCGCCCAGTTTCTTGGCACTTAATTCCTGTCTCTATGAATTTGTATCATTTTGACTTTTTATAAAATTTATCTATGTTTCTTTAAAATGCTCGTCCTTTTCATTCTGCGCTTACCTTTGCTATAGTTCCTGACAATCTATTTATAGATCCAGATGTTTCTGCTGGTCTTCCCAACAGAAAGCCACTTTGCCGCCTCTCAACATTACCTTATAAATAAAATCATTCACAAAAGTCTTATTTTTTTTTTATCTTAATCATTAACTAAGACTTCAAAATGATTTAAATCTTTTCATTAAACAGTCATTATTTAAGTCTCCAAATCTAAAGAACACTGTTCAAAGGGTTAGTACTAGTATCTAATCAGAATGCAGACAGTTGTTCAATTTTAAAGGTTTTCAGCAGCATATAGAAAAAAAATTCCGTGAATTTATGCTATAGTACCCTGCTATCACTTTTTACGTTATTGATAATCATTCAGAGAAGGACATATGTGCATATGAACAGAACCAACCTCTCAGATTTGTGGAGGATTCGGTCCCAGGACCTGAGTATACGGCAAATGTTGACCCATCGTAGGCATATATTACTTCTGTAGCGACCCCAGGCTATAAGACAACAGTTTATGAAGTTGATGTCTACATGGACAGCTATGTTTACCTTTTAGAATTACCAACCTAATCATGACATATAAGGTAAACACTCTCAACCTCTCGTCTTCTTTGAAAGACATTACGTTATCATTGAGTGGGTTAAAAATGTTTTCAATTGACCTTTGTGTTGTTGCTGTTTTTAAACCTACCGTGACAGGGGAGGTCAGTGTTTTGGACGTACCCCCTGCTCTGAGGGTGTACACTAATTGAGCCGTGGTGGAGGTCTTGATCACCTGAATATCCACAGAGGCCGGTGTCATCGCTCCATTGGAGTGAAGACAATTCACGAGCACCTGTTCTGTCCTTGGAGTGGCTGATGTCCCTACTGTCAACTCAAACCGGACAACAAGCACGTCTCGAAAGTCTTGGTTTGCTAGGCGCCAAATGTTGATTTCACCATTTCCGCCAAATCCAAGTGACCCTGTAGTTATGGCGACGTTGACCATTCCCACTGGGATTATATTTGTCGCGTCGTAAAAGTAGGGGTCGGACTGAGAGTGGTAGAGCATCGGGGAACAGACTGCAAGTTGAGGAGGAGAATGTCATTACTCAAAACGCATGGTGAGGTGAAATTGTCTTGGAGAATCCTTGTTACCTTCATGTTACACAAAATGCACAATGAAACATGTTTATTATGTAAAATACTAATATGTATTTCATTTAATAATCTCCTTAAGTGTCGTTGTTTTACATTGTATTCAATTTTGATTTTTCCAATTTCATTCCGTGTCCTTGATTTAAAGGCAAGCGATAAAGACGTGTAGAATTCTGTAAATTTTCTGAAAAATGACTTTACTTTATTACCTGTTGATGGCGTAACGGTAACAAGAATAGAACAGCCACAGGAACCAGCATCGTAGTGAGTTCCCGGGGCGCAACGGCGCCGTAAGAGGGCACCACTAACGTTCTGAAGATAGTAATTAGGGTCGGGATCAGCCTGGGAGTCACAAAGAACTAAAAATGTACAATAGCTGCGGTTTATGAAAACAATGTTTGATCATTTCATCGCTTTCATATTTGTGTATTATTCTTTAAGCAGAATCGTCATGATCCTCTGCTAATAAATGACATGTGAATTAGTAATACTTTACATTTTTAATCAAATATAAGAAATATGATAACCATGGTGGCATAAACATGATAAAGGATGATGAAACATCTGCATTATTGCATACATGGAACAGTAGAGGTTTTGGGTGGACATGCCTCTGTACATGTAGCGTCAGTCGTACAGCCGGACCCTGGGACATATCGAGTCTGATTCCCACAACAAGCGGGTACAGAGTGACCGTTTATACACGTCCAGTAGCCCTGACAATTCTCTGCCATGTTCCAACTCGCGCCATCAGGCTGGCCAATACAAGGATCTGAGAAGACGACATGAAGGTTATTTTATCAAAGAAAATGGAGCCCCCAAAAAGTTTACAAAGTTCACAACCATTTTCCACACGTGAACTGGATTAACAAACTAAACACTTGTATTAGTTGCAAACTTGTTATAAATAAAAAAAAATCAGAAAATCATAATCGGAAGACTTATTAATAATTATTTTCACTTGGCTAAAATTACCGTATGGACAGTCAGAGAATTCAGGGTGAACACAAGTCAGGTCAGACAGCGAGAAGAACTGTCCGAATCCACATTTCTTCTCCACGGCAACCGCAGTATCGTCCTCAAAATAACACTGGACAAAGCGTTGGCAGTTAGATCCGTGTCTGTTGTATCCTACACCGTCAGCTATAATACAGCCCTCACACAAAGGGTTAGTGACTGCAACAATAAATTAATATAAAGTTTCAGGATAGAAAGATGGTAATTTGTTGGTGGTGTAAGGTATACTCATGCACTTTTGTCGGTCTGAAGCTTCAAAATATTAACAGGTGGTAAAAGCTCTTACTTTTACCAATCTCCAGTGCATGGGTTGTAAGAAAGGGTAATGTTGGAGTTGGTGTTTTATAACTGTAATACATATATACTTATTTTTATCAGTCTGGAGTTTCTGGGTTGTATAAGGTGGTAATGTTGGAGTTAGCGCTGTGTTGTTATGATGTACACTGTAAAAAATGTGCTTAGGAAATAAACACTTCCATTACGTGTTTAGATCTAAACGTGTTTGATATTGTGTTTAAAAACAAAACACTTATGTCTAAATGTATTTAAAATCTATACGCGTTTAGATATTGAACATGTTTTTTGTTTTAAATTCGGTCAAGTGCAGAGTTATCTTCCCGGAAATGATACATATTTGAACGTTAATAAGCGCGGTTGTCGAAACAAAGAAAATCACAACAAAACAGTAAACGATGTTTTCAAGAAAGCTGATGAGAAATTGAGTGCCAACCACCGCAGAAATAGTGAAAAACATGTGAAAGGCTCATTGTTATTGGTATAGGTATGTATGCTTTTGTTTTTATATAAAATAAACATGATGAGCAAAGTAAATAACATTGCACTTTATATCAAGGATGTCTTTCGGTGTCATATCATGTATTCATTAATGAGAGTAAATATTGAATCTATAGTTGCAATAATATTTATTTAAACATTTTTTATATGCTTAGTAATTGATGTAAAACTTCAGCATGTTCAGTGAGGAGCACATACTGTTACTTATGCAACGGACGTCCTTTCTTACAGGTTAACTGAATTGGATAGCCGAGAGAAAGAACAAAATTCATTTCTGATAATATATGGATGTGAATTATACTGCCGTAGAAAATACCTTCAAGATTATCCAGATAACCTGCTGCTTTGTTTACATCACGACGGATTTGAAATAGTGATCCGTATTGCATCACACTGCAAGAAGCACACCATAGCTGGAGTCTTTTACATATATATTTACTTTGTATTGTACTTAACTGGTACAAAATGCAGACAATTCAACAACTTGGATGTTACTTACTCTTCAGATGCCAGATAGTTTTATATGTCAAAACTTCTAAAAGACTTTGTGACAAACAATGGAAACCATTCACAAGTAAAAGGAATTCCACCGGACTATGATTCCGTGACTGCGTGAGAACACTTTACTGTGTGTTAGGCCTTTTTTTTTAATCATTTTAATATGATGTTTAGAAGTAAATAAAACTTGAAAAGGACACACCTGTTATATTTTTGGATTTCTTGCAGATCCTTGTTTAAAACATTGAAGTGTTTAGCTTCTAAACGCGAATCTAAGTGTGTAGAATTGCGTTTAAACTCTAAACATGTATGTATTTAGGTTTAAAACACTTTCCATTACGCGTACTGAAATTCAACATGTTTAAAATTTAAACGCATTAAAAAAAGTGTGACAAGAATGTGCTTAGAAATGTGTCTATCATCTAAACACATTTTTTACAGTGTATACTTACTTTTAACTGTCTGGGGTTTCTGGGTTGCAAAGGGTGGTAATGTTGGAGTTGGCGCTGTGTTCTTATTATGTATACTTACTTTTATCTGTCTGGAGTTTCTGGGTTGTCAGGGGTGGTAATGTCGGAGTTGGTGTTGTTGGTCTGATTGTTGTCGGGATAGGGGTACTGGTTGTTGTTGTTGGAACAGGTGTTGTTGTTGTTGTACTCGTGGATGTCGTTATTGCTAAACATGTAAGTAATCCATTGAACATGTTATTTCTACGAAATTGATCGACATAGGAAACCAAATGCCTTTAACATCCTCTTGTGTATTTGTAATAATGATTGTGGATTTTAACTTATGCATTTTTTAAAAATGGTATCTAAAAATAGAAGTTTATAAATCAAATTACTTTACCTCGACACAGTAAATCGCTGAGTATGGCTACACCAGTTAAGTTTGTCAGTTGGCTGTATCCATTTAAGAGGAGAACCTGAGAGGGGTTTCCCGTAATGGCACTTAATTCAGCAGCAGCAGCTGATCCAGGGGAGACACCAATACCCACTGAAATGAGGGTAATCCCCAGAGTACGTGCCGCAGCGGCGGCCGTTTGTGTCTTCACAGGGTCGTAAGATTCTCCGTCCGTCAAAATCACGCCCACTTTCGGGTAGGGGACGTTTGGTTGAATAAGAAGTCGTATCATTTCTGTGATAGCAACATCGGTAAAGGTAGCCATTCGTATTAACCTCAACGCATCCACTTTGGCAAAGAGTGTGTAATTTGTGTCCCGGCTGTCAAACGGGAATCCGTCATCACCGATGGCTTGACTGAATACAAAAGCGGCCACTTGAATGTTGCTGGGTCCGATTTTGAAATGTTGAATATTAGCTTTTACAAACTGTTTCAATAGTTCAAAGTTGGAAGCATTAATACTTTCTGATCCATCCAGTGCAAATGCTACTGCACCCGGTCCAACACAATGGTTTGTTAAGGAGAAAGCTTAAAAAAAGATCAAGAGTGACATTGTTGTTCTGAATATTCAAAAATACATATAATTCCTTATAAGATGTGTCACTTTATTTTCAAATAGTGTGTATTAGTCTTTAAACAGGAATAAACTGAAGTTTTTCAGCACTATTCGTATTTAAAAGCATGGAAGCAAATTTAAATAGTTCAAAAAGTTTCCTCCTTGATAGTGAAAATTCGTAGAAGCTATTGCTTCACGATCAGTTTTATTATACACTTCATAGAACGACGGGGTTGAATGCAGGCTTGAATTACTAAATAAGTCATTTGTCCCCGATACTATTCGCAAATGGAATTCATTGAGTAACGAAACAAGGGAAATAACTTCAATAGGAATTTTTGAAAGAAAGTTGAATAATAATAATGTCAAGCCTCCCAAGTATCTATCATACGGCAAAAGGTATTTGAACATCTTACATACAAGATTAAGGCACAATTGTATTTTAAATCATGACTTGTATAGATGTAACATTATAACGAATCCAAATTGTTCTTGTGGATATAAGGAGGATAGTCATCATTATTTCTTTGTGTGTAGAAAATATCTTGAAGCTAGACGTTTAATGTTGAATGAATTACTTGTAATTAATAATGTAAAAATATTAAATGTGCATAAACTGCTATGGGGAGATGAACCATTATCTTTGCAGGAAAATGAAAAAAATATTTGGTATTGTTCAAAAATTTATTCAGGATATACTGGTCGTTTCAATTAACACTTACATGTACTTGTATTTACTACCTTTTGAAACTATTTTATTATGGTTATTGACGTCATTATGATCATCATTATATCAATTGATATTCCTTAGCAATAATAACTATTGTCTTTGTTCTTCTACGTTCATGTAAAATATTGTAAAATTGTAAATCTTTGTAAATGTTGTATGCATGGCTGTTAAGATTTTATGTATGGGAGAGGACTATCTAAGTTTTTAGAACTTGTGTCCAATCCCTTTGACATATTGTCAATAAAATATGTTCAAAACAAAACAACGGGGTAAGAATGCAAAGATATGAAGAAAGTTTATTTCAATTTTCTTCCTTGATTTCTTAACCATTCCATCCATAAATCACATTAAAAAAAACTGTGTTTTCTAAAAACTGAATTCTACTTTGTATAAAGTAGGAGTATTTACACGACTTCTAAAATTGATGTCAAGCTATTTCCCAGGAAGGTAACTTGACTGGGCTGAGCAACCAATGCATTTAAGTTAGACGGTTTATGATTTGAAGAATACATTATTGAATCTGTTTTTAAAAAAATCAAACCAGAAACCATCTTTCAAAATGTATATTTCTCTTTGACTATACACACTAGTAAAACATATTTACAACGCAGCAAGGAAACATTCAGCTCTGTAAGAAGCAGTGATCAGTCACTGTCGTTTATGATTTTGGGGGTGATGCTATTATGGCAGCAAGGAAACATTCAGCTCTGTGAGAAGCAATTCCTCTCCCTCCCCCAAGAGAGGACAACTAAAGGCGTAGATGAGAGGAGGGAGGAAAATGCAGGAAAAGGAGAAAGAAATTTAACTTCTAAAACGTCACTGAAATAGATAGAAAATGAATATAGAATCGCTCTCATCCTTCTATAAAAATATTTTGAAAAAAAAATATATATATATCTTCCATGCTGTCGGATCACATACAGCTGTAATCCAAAGAAACTGGTCAAGATTTCCAGACAATCAGAGCAAAGAAAAAACAACAAATTACCTCAAAATACCAACAAGATATGTTGTAAAGGTATTGTAAAATGACGGTGCTCTGTTTATTGGTTATAGACCAGATGTAGCGTGGAAACAGGAAGAAATAAGTGAATAAGACAAATGAGAAGACTTTGGTTGTTCTGACGACTATCCACAACAATACAAACATTTATACGGACAAATTCTCTAAAGAAGCTGAAAGAACTGGCCTCAGAAATAACTGTATATAACTGCAAACTACGAAGTATAGATGACAGTTCTTATGGTAAGATATCTGTACAACTATTATATGATGAGAACGGAAGACGGCGAAATTACTCTGATTAAAACTGAGCGGAGAAAATTAATAAAATAAACTTATCATGGCAAAACTGAAAAAAAATCTGTATTAAAAAAATAAATAAATAAAAATTCAACACTCTTCAAAAATATAATCATCGAAGAAAACAGTTTTTGAGTCTACACTATACATAATATAAAAAAGGGTAAGAAAGAAAAATTAACTTTCAATTCACAAGAATAAAAAGGGAAAAGGGACGATTCTGAAAAACCCTAAAGTCTTTTGAATGAAGAAAAGTCCTCCTAACTTTTTATGTATTTTTAATCGTAATAATCTACGAATACTTACATAAGGGTGGATTTTGTCCGAACACTCCAAAAATGGAGTATAGTAGCACCACAACTCCAGCACAAATCGCCATTCCTTAAAAAATAAAATATCGTAAATATAAACAATAATGTTTTGATTTAGTGAACTCATGGAAAATTCATAATGAATAGTACTTTACCAGTGAAACACCTGATTATTGACCAGTCGGAAAAAAAAAGTCAAAAAGGTTTATTTTCGAATCATTCCAAAAAATTAAATTACCTGTGCGTCAAAATATCCCGGAAATCAATGAAAATCAATTCTTTGATTTGTTTTTAGCTGATGTAACTGATATCCAATAAAGGTGTTGTCCAGTACACAACTCTAGATCAATAAGCACTAATCATCCAGGGTCGTCCAGCTGGCCCGGGGGACCGACTCCTATCTTATCGGGAATGACATTAATGTCTTAGTCTTTGGCAAATAGATTTTCCAAAGTTGCGTATACAACATAGGAAATTCAGGTGGATGGAGCAAAAGAAGTGATACTTTATAATTATTCGACTATTTCTTATAAAATTACCCGAATGATATCACCGACATTTTGGTGTTTGAAATTAGTTATTGCAGGGTCCCACTAACTGTCAATGTAGTAAATTTGAAGGATACTAAAAAATTGTTCCATAGAAAATCCTTTGGTTCCAACAGATTTGAAGGGTTGTTTCGGCTTATACAAATTAAGTACTGTGAGGGTCGTTTGTATAGACATGTACATGTTAGTAAACTTCAAATATTATCTTCAAGAGTAGGTGGTCAACTACCCACAATTTTTCTCCCTTTTCTAAAGAAATAATTGTTCTGGTACGTTGGCTTCCTTGTATCTTCACAAATTCATCATTTTAATCAACGACTAAATAGGTTCAATGATAAAACAATTAACGTTTAAAACTTTTCGTGGATTAAAAATTCGATTATGAACGAATGAAAGTTTGTGTCATTTTGTCAAAATGTGAGGACCAGAGGCTACGTTAACAGATAACGGGAGATTTACACGTGAATAAATCCATTACACTCCACCTGAAGTTGGCTCTAGGCGGGTCACGTGGACAGATCTGAACTCAGAACCACTCATTCATCTTCACTACCAGTTTAGCAAAATCATTCGTTTTCTTTACAAATAAGACCGAGACCGCCATTACGGGGTGCCTTTTTTTTTTTAAACGAACACTCGAACATATAAATTAATTATTCATCTGTTTAAAGTAATGCTGTGAGATTATGTTTATTAAATATGCGAAAAAAATGACTTCAAGCATGCACCAGAACACAAAAAATGGAAAGCAATTATACTAAAATTATACTAAATTTTGTGGCTGAGTAGTTGAGGTACCCCTACAAGACCCTCGTTCGCAAGCCCCTTTCCAGGAACCTGGCGACGGTAAGTAGAGTCAAGTAGGGTAAGTAGACCTCCCCCCATCCCCCAACCACCCACAAGCTTTTTTTTTTTACAATTAGGTTTTCTTTTTTGCTTGTCTTAAATATCTGAGTGGATTTTTATTAAGTGGGTATAGACCCCCCCTCCCCCCCCCCCCCCAAAAAAAACCCCTTGGATCCAAGCATGCTTCTATACATTATTTTTATACATTTTCGTTTTCACCTTAGAAATGTTGTTTATAAATTCTAATATTAATATAATCTATCTTAGTCCTGTTTTTTTAATCATAAAAATGTGAAGAATACGAACAGTGTTCGAACTCAAAAACAATTACAAACGATACAAGTCTGTGAACAGGGCATAAAACACGGACCCCTTGAAGTTCCAGAGATTTGGATCATGTGCCTGGGAGGAGTAAGCATCCCCTGTCGACCTATCACAATTGCCGTGAGCACTATGTATTGATCAGGTAAATCCGAGATTGCTGTGTTGTAGAATTAACCTGTAGAATATGACACTGTTTATAAACAGCTGGTAAACGCAACAATATGATTAAACATGTACATGTGCTAATATAAAGAAAAAGACAGAAGTCTAAGAACGGGTCTTTATCGATGTTTTTCAGAAAATAAAAATAGTTATACCAATAATAAATACTCTGTATTTACATGTACGTCATATATGTACTTTTGATCAATATTATCAGTGAATAATAATATGTAATACCTTTTTTTTATATAATAGATGCTAACCGTAATATACTTTAATTTACTGAAAAAATCAACATTTTCAGCAAATAAAAATACTTACTACCTTTAATAAAAAACGTATATATTATATGTATTTTTAAAAATGAAAATATCGATAAAACAGTATAAAAACTTAAAGGACAGTTGACCCATGTGCCACCGCGTTTTATTGAATCGGGTTCGGGTATCACGCTCCTAATAACCTCCCTTTGTAGAATAAACAAAAACAACACAGTCGTGACAGTGACTGTGACAACATCCCAGTACTATGCATTGATCGTTAAAAATTATCATTTGGACTGAAAGATTTCGAAGGAAGACTGAATTTCACCTTCAGCAGTCGTTTATGGGCACGCTGCTTCACGTTGGACGTGTTGATAAGGTAAATAAACACGATTATGCAATCCGGTGATTGTGTGAAAAAGTTGTTTTTTCTTCTTTTTTTTTTTTTTTTGATTTTTAATATAAATATTATTGTTTTCTTTTAAATAGGAATTTTACTATTTGGTAGTGAGGAACCAACTGTTTTTCATGCAGTTTATGTTATGATGCTTTATATTTAATTTTCTCCCCCATCGACTATTCTCTAGACCTCTATCGATTCATTAATAATAGTGATTAAAGCAAGTTTGCAACACTATGCCAAACCAAAGCAATAATCAGTACTTGTACGCAAGAATATTAATGAACATGGTTCCAAAATCAAAGTTTTATTTTAGGCTGGAATATAAAAATCATCCCTCAGAGACAATTGATTATTTTACAGGTAGATTATACATTGCCACATACATGTTCAGACTTGGAGAAGCCATTGATGCTCTTTAATAAAGTCTTGTTTCAAATAATAGGCTCAAATGATTAAAATATGTTTTTTTTTAAATTCCTTTGAAAGATTCTCAACTGGATTGAAATTACCATTACCTAAAAATGGACTTTGAACAGCAGACTGTCTGATGGGATCTGGGATTTCTATTAGAGGTAAGACTGTAGTGACCAACAGTCAAACATTCACCTCTTCCTTAAATGGAAAAATCTCAAAAGGAGATTCATCTCCAAAAAACAAGCACACAGCTTCTGACAAACTGGAAATTCAAGGGAATAAATCAGCTTCTGATACACAGAAATTGGTGATGGAAGACATAGAAGAAGAAATGAATTTGTCCGACATGAAAAAAGAAAAGGCTGAAGTTAAGGAAACTGGGGTGTCTAAGATATCAGCATTTAGTGGGGAGAAAAATCAATCACAGCTTAATGATACCAACACCATAATACAGGAAGTGTCTGATCCCCCCAAACCTCCAGAAAACCAGACAAAAGACAGCACCATAACACAGGAAGTGTCTGATCCCCCCAAACCTCGAGAAAATCAGACAAAAGACAGCACCATAACACAGGAAGTGTCTGAGCCCCCCAAACCTCCAGAAAACCAGACAAAAGACAGCAATGAAAGCCAGAAAGAAGAGACTGAGGAAAAAAATAAAAAGCTCACTGAGGAGGAGATCCAGGCTATCAAAACAAAGACAATGAAGTCAATTAAAACCAATCTGGAGATTCTTTCAGACCTTGAAGGACATTTGAATGAAAAAGGAACCTTCAACCAAGCTTTCAAAAGTGCAACATTTCAGTTACAAAAATGTCACTTTGCTTTGAGTAAGACTAGCTTAGAAATTAATGTTGCATTCAAACAAGAACAAGGTGCAGTTTTTGTGGAGCTTGGGGGTGTGAAGACTGTTTGTGACGTGATTGTTTACTGTGTAAGGAAGGGGTATTATACGGAGGACAGTAAGTTGATTCAGGGGATCTGGATTCCCCTCGTTAACTCGGCCATTGTGATGATTAACTTTACTGATATTAATCCTAATTTTGCACACTTACTGGTGGAACATGGGGAATTCTTGCCTCAGATCTGCGAGGCTTTACAGAGACTAAGGGAAAGTCATTTACAGGACAATATGTTGGTGAGTAATCAGAGCATGTCTGTTTGTAAATGATACATCAAGATTTGTTTCATAGGGAAACAAGATTAATGATTTAATCTTATTTCTACAGGAAAAAGATGCTAAAATTCTTACCTCTTACTTGTCAATAATCCACAACATTGCCCAGGCAGAGAGCAGTATCTCTGAGCTGCGGGATCACGGCTTTGTGGAAGTGCTCCTACCGTACCTTAAATCTACCAAGGAAAGAGTCCTCCTGTCCACACTGGCCACGCTGGCAGATCTGGTGGATGAAACAGAAGCGAAGTATTTAGAGAGTCACGGAGAATTCTTTACCTTCCTGTTGACATGTTTGAAGTCATCAATGGAAGACAGACATAGAAGATGTAAAGGGTGGGCTGCCTGGGAGTTGGCAAGAAGTACTTATTTTATTTTTAACTCTTCATCCAATTACAATGAAAAATATTAAGTAAGGACATTACTGGTTAATATTGCAGTAATTTTTTTTAATACTGTGTTTGATTTCTGTTTAAAGCTATAAGGAGAATTGCCAGAAATGATGTTAACAAGAAGTCTTTGGTTGCCCAGGGTTCCCTGCCAGTACTGGTGTCGTTAGCTCAGTCCAAATATGAAAATGAACAGATAGGTAATGATGGGCAATAATACTGAGATTTGATAAAGATATATGTCATGATATTGAGATAGGTAAGGATGTGATGAAATAATTATGAGACTGTTAAAAATAGTGAATTATGTTATTGGAGAGGATATGTTATGGTGTTGAGGTGATAAATAAGCAAAGAGAATTACCATGTAAATGTAATAGATTTTTTGTGAACTTGAAATTTGAAGTTTAATTAAATACCATGACTTTGTTGTGAATTGTAGAAGTCTTGTATGAATAATTTTACAGAGTAAGATCAAATGGTTTTAATACATGTATATGTTAAAAGGTTAAAATAAAATTCTTCGGGATTTTTTTTTTACACAGAGGCTCTGGGTGCACTGTGGATGTTGTCTTTTGACAAAGAAAACCAGGATATCATGATAAAGGATGATGCTGTCATGAAAACTTTTATTGACTTCCACACGTCCTCAACAAAGAAAATCAAGAATGCCTGTAGTGGGGCCCTTTGGAATATGAGAGAAAAGCTCAGCTCTGTAGACAAATATAAGGAACTAGGTAATGAGTTTGATGATCATATCCTTTGTGTATGTATCAGCTCTGATATGTTCTTCTTGCTGCAAAACTTTTTTGTACATATATTAATCTTTCAATTCAATTTTGCAAAATTCTGCTTTCCAATGAACTCTTGATTGTTAAGCTCTGAAGCTAGCAAATTGAACTGGTTAAATACAATACCACAGGTACAACATTTATATATATTTGACATCAGGTAATCAATACAGGAGAGATGAGAAGGAAGTGACATCGGAGTCAGCTGGTTCTCACAGAGGTCATGTGATGATCAGCTACCAATGGGCCAATCAGAAAATAATCAAGAAAATTCGTGACAGCCTGCAGGAGAACGGGATCAAATGCTGGATGGATATCGATGATATGCAGGGTTCTACTCTTAATGCCATGGCTAAAGCCGTGGAAAGAGCTGATATTATTTTGATTTGTTACTCCAAAAAGTACTATGACAGTCCAAACTGTAGAGCAGGTCAGTTGACATCAGTTACCTAGTAGTATTTTGCATTAAAGTATGATAATTTCTTTAAAAAAAGGAGTTCATTTATTATTTTTTTAATACTTTGAAACAAGTTGTTCAAACTATTTTTCATGCAAATATGTCTTAAGATAAATACAGTGTTATTGAGAAATAAGAGGAGGTAATATAAGTATCAAATAATATTCTTTTTGACTACTTGATAGTTATGACTTACTGTGATCAATGAATGCCCTCTGTACCTTTTTGGCTATTTGATAGTTATGACTTACTGTGATCAATGAATGCCCTCTGTACCTTTTTGACTATTTGATAGATATGACTTACTGTGATCAGTAAATGCTCTCTGTACCTTTTTGGCTATTTGATAGTTATGACTTACTGGGATCAGTAAACGCCCTCTGTACCTTTTTTGCTATTTGATAGTTATGACTTACTGTGATCAATAAACGCCCTCTGTACCTTTTTGACTTTTTGATAGTTATGACTTACTGTGATCAGTAAACGCCCTCTGTACCTTTTTGACTACTTGATAGGTATGACTTACTGTGATCAGTAAATGCCCTCTGTACCATTTTGACTATTTGATAGTTATGACTTACTGTGATCAATAAACGCCCTCTGTACCTTTTTGACTATTTGATAGTTATGACTTACTGTGATCAGTAAACGCCCTCTGTACCTTTTTGACTATTTGATTGTTATGACTTACTGTGATCAGTAAATGCCCTCTACCTTTTTGACTATTTGATAGTTATGACTTACTGTGATCAGTAAACGCCCTCTGTACCTTTTTGACTATTTGATTGTTATGACTTACTGTGATCAGTAAACGCCCTCTGTACCTTTTTGACTATTTGATAGTTATGACTTACTGTGATCAGTAAACGCCCTCTGTACCTTTTTGACTATTTGATTGTTATGACTTACTGTGATCAGTAAACGCCCTCTGTACCTTTTTGACTATTTGATTGTTATGACTTACTGTGATCAGTAAACGCCCTCTGTACCTTTTTGACTATTTGATTGTTATGACTTACTGTGATCAGTAAACGCCCTCTGTACCTTTTTGGCTATTTGATTGTTATGACTTACTGTGATCAGTAAACGCCCTCTGTACCTTTTTGACTATTTGATTGTTATGACTTACTGTGATCAGTAAACGCCCTCTGTACCTTTTTGACTATTTGATAGTTATGACTTACTGTGATCAGTAAACGCCCTCTGTACCTTTTTGACTATTTGATTGTTATGACTTACTGTGATCAGTAAATGCCCTCTGTACCTTTTTGTCTATTTGATATGACTTACTGTGATCAGCAAATGCCCTCTGTACCTTTTTCGCTATTTGATAGTTATGACTTACTGTGATCAGTAAACGCCCTCTGTACCTTTTTGACTATTTGATAGTTATGACTTACTGTGATCGGTAAATGCCCTCTTTTTGACTACTTGATAGTTATGACTTACTGTGATCAGCAAATGCCCTCTGTACCTTTTTGGCTATTTGATAGTTATGACTTACTGTGATCAGTAAATGCCCTCTGTACCTTTTTGGCTATTTGATTGTTATGACTTACTGTAATCAGTAAATGCCCTCTGTACCTTTTTGGCTACTTGATAGTTATGACTTACTGTGATCAGTAAACACCCTCTGTACCTTTTTGACTATTTGATAGTTATGACTTACTGTGATCAGTAAATGCCCTCTGTACCTTTTTGACTATTTGATCAGTAAATGCCCTCTGTACCTTTTTGGCTATTTGATATGACTTACTGTGATCAGAAAATGCCCTCTGTACCTTTTTGGCTATTTGATAGGTATGACTTACTGTGATCAGTAAACGCCCTCTGTACCTTTTGACTATTTTGATAGTTATGACTTACTGTGATCAGTAAATGCCCTCTGTACCTTTTTGGCTATTTGATTGTTATGACTTACTCTGATCAGTAAACGCCCTCTGTACCTTTTGACTATTTGATAGTTATGACTTACTGTGATCAGTAAATGCCCTCTGTACCTTTTTGACTATTTGATAGTTATGACTTACTGTGATCAGTAAATGCCCTCTGTACCTTTTTGACTACTTGATAGTTATGAATTACTGTGATCAGTAAATGCCCTCTGTACCTTTTCAGAGGCAGAGTATGCTTTTCAGCTGAGGAAACCAATAATTCCACTTAAAATGGAGAGAAACTACCAAGCTAGGGAGTGGTTGGGTTTTATTATTGGTTCTAAGCTGTTTTTTGAGTTCACAGACAAGTATCCTTTTGAGAGTAAGATTAGTGCCTTAGTAAAAGAAATCCTTACCAGACAGAAAAGGGCTGTTCCTGAGAAGCCCATCATTCCTCATACAGCTCAAGTCCATACAGAGGTACACATAATAAAACACATTCTAAATAATATTTTACCATATTTGAGATGATGAGGCTTAAATCTATATACATGTACATGTATATTATATTCTGCCTACTTTAACACTCTGATGTAAATCCTGTTCATCATTTTAGAAGACACCAGAGTCCTCTAGTGGCAAAGTGGTTAAGGTCCAGGCTTCAGAGGTGGTAAAAAGGTGGACGGAAAGTGATGTTCTCAGATGGATCAACCACCACAAGCTTCCCAGGTAAACTACAAACAACCACCACAAATCACAAATAACCACCACAAATCACAAATAACCATCACAAATCACAAATAACCACCACAAATCACAAATAACCACCACAAACAACAAATAACCACCACAAACAACAAATAACCACCACAAATCACAAATAACCACCACAAATTGCCCAGGTAATCACAACCACCAAAAACGTTGCAGGTTAACTGTGAATAACCAGTACAAACTCTACAAGTTACAGGCTTGCTTTTTTATCCACTTGAAAGCAGAATTCCACTATTTCCACTTTTTTCACTTGACTTCAAAATCATGTCTTAGGTTAACTCAAATCTACCCCCTCCTCTCCAGGTAAACCACAAATAACCACCACAAACTACCCCAGGTAAACAACAAACGATGTACAGGAATTTTGATAAAAGAAATTAATACAGTCAAACCTTGTTATCTCGAACTCGATGGGACCAAGGAAAAACTTTGAGATATCCGAGGGTTCAAGATATTGAGGGTAAAATACTTAAAGAATTAGCAATTGGGACTTCCAATCACTTTGACATAACCATGGTATTCGAGACATCAGTGTTTCAGATACCAAAGTTCAACTGTATTCTTGGAAATTTTCTTCAAAATAGGATCTGAAAATTGTACTGATGGAATCTAATTTCGAAACATGAAATTCTTTTATTGAGAAAAACAAAAAAATCTATATATGCCACCATAAATAAAATTCTATACTTTTTATTTTTGTTTGTAAACATTATGAAGGTGGAAGAAAAAAAGCAACAAGGAATTCAAACAAATGCCTGTTTAATCAGCTTCGATCCCCTTTCTAGTGTAATACTACAACAAACTAAGCAATGAAATTTTATCAACAAACATAAACACATTAATGATTTTCACAGAAATATCCTTTTACTAGACACTTTTATAAAGGAATGATAGTCAGTAATGCCAATGAGAGTTATAATTCTTTTCAGATGGTCCATGAACCTCTATTTTAAAAAAAAATACTCACAGTGTAACCCTGTAATGGATTTTATGGTGTCACTTTCTCCTCTTTCCATGTAAAGTTTTTTTCTGAATTGTTCTTGAAATGATTATTTAGAGGAATAGTGTAAAACATAGAATTTATTTAGACATCCCTATAATGAAGCTTTGTGTATTGATAAATGTACAGGTAATTGCATAGACCTTAATAAGACTAATTGTCTTGTGGTAATAGGTGAAGGTAGATATGGTCCTTATATTTAAATTGTCAGATATATAAATTTGCATAAATGAATCAAATTTAGAATGAAAAATAAAATATAAAGGAGTACAAATGGTAAAAAAGGATTGTCTTTTGTAGCTCCAAGTTTTCTAAGCTGACTGGAACAGAGATAGCCTTTCTTCAGGTTCTAAGGCAGGAGGTAAATTAAGACAGAATGACACAGTAAAAAATGGACTAAAATTTGAATGATTTTACATCAGATTGATTCTTTTGACTCATAAGTAGTTTGTGATACTCAGATATTTGTCACCTTTAGAAATCAAAATCATTTTAGCACTACAGAAATGTTCAGACTTTATCATTCAATTTTATTAAATACCTATATCCATATGATTTCAGTCCCCAGATTACTTCTATAAAACTCTGAATGAGATGCTGAAGATAAAGGATTTATCAACATTGGCTCAGTTCACATTTGCCTTGGACGATACAGTAGTGTAAAATCATAGGAGAGTACTCATCAGAGAGTATTTATACAGTAGGAGATTAGTCATACAAATGTAGGAGAGTATTTATGGGAGAGTACTCAAAAGAAGAGTCATCAGCTCAGGAACAGATTTAGATGTACACATATGTACATACATTCATTAAGAAAATCTTGCCCGTGCATTTATTTTCTAGGTTTTAGAATCTTGCCTTGAATATATATATATATTTTTATTTTTTGTGTGTGCCATATCAGTAAATATCATCAGGATATAATTTTATCTGGCAAAATGATTGTCCTGTTATACATGTATATTGTATTGAAAAAAAAAGAAAGAATATTTTCAATCTACAACTATATATTTTTTTTTAACCAGCGGACTGTGCATATTCAAAGCACTAATAGTTTTGCTTACTGCTTGATATCTGTAGGTATTTTACCCTCAGAAACCACTGTATATATTGCTATATTGTCTTAATTTGGTAATAAGGGATGTCCAATTTAAGATCCATCATCCCCCTGTTGCATGATCATACATGTCTAAAAATTTGCTTTAACACTTCAAAAATCTAATTTCAAATTAAATTGCACATTTTGAGCAATGTATCTGCTGGGGACAAAAATGGCCCTTGCAACAATATTATAAAGGAATAGAAGTTATTTACCAAACTGAGAGTTATCTTTCTTATCAGAGGACAGTGAACCTTAAATCATAACTAAAAAAAATATAGACAAGTGCAAATTGATTATTTTTATATCAATTTTCCAAATTTATCAGAATGTGATTTTAAGTATTTTTCGGACAGCCAAGGCTGACGTCATTAGTTATTACGCTGCAGCCTGGAGTACACTGAAGTCCTTTACTGCACTTCATTTCTTGAGATCAAATCCCTTGCTGTCATACAGGTGTGTATTATGTATATTTACAACTTGTTATCTAGTTTGCATTTATGTAAATCATTATAATCGTGTATTTCTGTGCATTTCATGATTTGTACATTATTTGTACATGAGTTGTGTATTCGGTGAACTTATTTCCCGCCAATGCAACATGTGTGTTGTTTCAGTAGTTCATACAAGTCGATAGAATTGATAGAATTATTAAGTAGGTAATTATGTAATACACTTCTTGAATATAGTTATGCATAATAATGAGGTTTTCACAACTTTATTTCTAGTTATAGTGTAATATTCACTAATGGACCCGATCTTGTGAAATTTTTATGTAGTATTCCGGAACTATCGTTTCCTCAGTTCGGAACTAGGTCGAGGTTCTGATTTTAGTAGGCGATGTTTGTTTCCTGTTTGTTTACCGATAAGTTGTTTTCATTTGCATGCATAAAATAGTGATTCAAGGTAATTGAAATGTAGAATAGATTGTATGAATAAGATTTCATGATGTAGTAAATGTTCATGATTTCCTTGCATTTTTAATGTAATTTCTGTTCATTATAATGAGGGAATAACTTGTCTTTGTAAACTTTGACTTGTGACCCAGATATGATATATCAGTTTGATGGTAAATATGAATAATGGATAAGTCTATTACTTTTCTTGACTGAATACATGTAGAGGTCTGCTTATTGGTAGCGACTATGTATATTATTACTTGAAGCAGTCAAGCTAGGTCTTAGGACAATTGTATATCATAAAAGTCAGTATCTGTGCCATATTAAGTTGACCAGTTTGAACATATTAGTGTTAACACTTTCTCGTGAGTACATAATAGTACCATGTGTTATATGTAGTGTAGGTCTCACTATATATGCTTACATATGACTTCAGTGTTGAGTAGTTTGTTCAAGAGTTGTGCACACACATTATTTAGGTGAACTACTGGTTTATTAAGGTTAACATCATGAACCATCATTCTATATACACTTTGTACATACTTTATAATTGTTGTTTACTATTTGTAATTTGTTCTTTTTAGATCACTGCTGCCTTTGGTTTACAATAAATGTAGTGAACTCACACAAGTCTTATCACTTGGTAACAAAAAGAACAGAATTGTTAAAAACTTTAATCACTAAATACTTGTACGTTCTTGATGGAAAAGGGTATCTGTGATTGGTATATACTCATATTACTGTGATGATGTTTATTTTAGGAAATTTGTTGATAAGTTTATCATTTTTAATCACTGTACATTATCTATTTTAATTGATAAACAGCATTTTTAATTATCTTTAAGGAGTCGCTGGTCGACGGTATTTTTATTTTTATTTGTTGATGTTCATGTTACCATAAATATTGGTATCTTGTGCATTGAATAAAACCAGTAAAAATGTTTATTAATAGAAATACTTCCAAGAATTGTTCTTTTGGATTATGTTTGAGTGTAACATCATATTTAAATGAGATATTACACAACTGGAGAATTAATTTTTTGTAAAATTAACAACTACATTTGGATAACTTTTTGTATTTAGCAGGGTTAAACTATATCGTGCTATCCAGTTTCCAATCATACATTCCAGATCAACATCATTTTCATTTGTTTCGTATTTACAGTTTTTAGAATAAAATTGTTTATCACATGTCTCTGTTGTACGTCTTTGTGAAAGCTAATAGGAACATTCATAATTGTCCAGGTAAAAAACTGTAAATTAAGGATATCCAATCCTCAGCCAGGAAGGATAACTCTTAAATTATTATTTATTTAAAAAGTCTCAAAATGAAGCTTGAAATTAAGATCTTTTCATGCAACAATTTTCATTTTATGCATCTTAATATGATTCAAGGTTCTTTGAAGTCTTAGAAACAGTCTTGTAAAAAGTTGACATTTGTACCCAATAATTTATAAAAGGGAAAAAAAGAATTCATTTCTAGAGAAATCGAATTTCCTTTAGTCTAGCATTAGATACCACTGCTTATTAGCATGATATGAAATTAGATGTGATATGTGATGTCTGACAATGATAGCACAAGCTTTTTACACTATGTATTATATAGCAATTGAAGTAAAAAAAAAAAAAAGAAGAACTAAAATACTGTACAGGCATAAAAAAGATGCAGTTTTCTCCAAATGCCTGGATACCTATATTTTTCTATCCTAAATTATATTTGTTGATCAATTTTCAATTAAAAAATGCATAACTGGTGTTTTTATTTGCATTTCCTGAGAATATATTTGAGATTTGATAAGTTTCCCTATATAATATGATTAACTATAATGACGACTTTGAAGAAATTCCATGTGTAAATTCACATTACTATGTGAAATCCGAGACATTTTTGTGAGCATTTTCAATTACTTAAAAGCTGATTTTCAGAGCCCGAGGATCAGACTATCTTAAATGGTGGGATAAAGCGAGTTTTCCGCAGGCATGCTCTGAATTAATTTTGTAGGAAAACTTAGAGTTCCCAGGAACGCATGTGTCGCTAACTAAAGCATCATTAAAGATATAAATATATGCTAAAAGTTTGCATACTAGCATGAAAGTTCATGCATTTGCATGCAAAGAAAAAAAAATCCACTTATATTAAGACTGCGATAGAATTAGAATAGCATTTATACAACATAAAGTGTGACAATCAAATAGAAATATGATTCCTCAACCCTCAAAGCTAAAATGAATAATGAAATTGAATTAGATGAAATAATTGTGTATTTTTATTCTTCACGTGTTAGTGATTCGTTACCAGAAGAATTTTAAAAAGTCTGCAATTTTCAGTTTACAACTTAATGTTAGGCTCTGCAGTAGGTGCTGGTTCGAAAAATTTGCTAATTGGCCACAAGTGCCTTCCACTGACGAAAAAGTTCGAACGTACGTAAAACAAACCAACAAATAATGAACTTTGTTACATCGGTAACGTAGTCTCCAAAGGGAAACGGTAAATATTAACGTGATTATGTTACACTAAGAAAGACTTGGAAAGATCAGGCCCCGGGATCATGAAACATCTTAGGCTTAAGTCAAAATCTTTATGGTGTACCAAAATATTGTAGAAGTCGAGCGGATTAAAATTAAAATATTCTTCAATAAAGCTTTACAAAAGTGTTGTTATCTGCAAATATATATAAGATTGATTCCATAATTAATAAACATTTTACAGGCGATAGAAAATTTGAATTAAGTTTTAAGTCTGTTCGATGATCCTGGGGCCAGATTGCACATCTTAGGTGCAGTCTTAAACAGGAAGAATTGAAGAGTAATGAGGCTTTATATACTAGATGACAGGAGTAAGAGAGGTGAAGGAAAGTAGTGTGTACATATATTGTACGCATATATGAAATATAGAGATAACGAACAGTATTCAAGCTCAAAGTCTATTAAAACAGTACAAACACGGACCTCCAAAAGCAGGTGGGGTCAGGTGCCATGGGGGAGTGAGCATCCCCTGCCGACCAGTCACACCCGCCGTGTGCTCCTTGTCATGATCGGTAAATAATTTAAATGTATTTTTTGTACATGAATAATGCGTATTTTATTCAAAGATTTTTATTAAAGCAATTTTCATCCAAATATATTCGTGATTTGTAAGTCATTAGCATAGCTGGACAAATCGATCTCGGTTAAAGCGTACCCGCCACCAAGATTCTTCATCACGTGATTGACGTCGTCATAATGAAATTGAACGGAAGTGCCTGCACCAGCTCCACCGTAAGTGAAGACAAACAAGAACACTAACTGGTTGTCGATTACAAAGAAGCTGGGATTTCCACTGTCTCCAACAATTTTACTCTCATAGAAAGCGTGGCGATATGATAAATTTGGCACAGTAAGGGTGACCATTTTGCCGTGCATCATACGGAGATCGTCTACTAGAGCCTTCTCTTCGTAATCAGTACTCAGAACTGGAAGGACGTGATTCACATGGGAACCATATATCTCCGTGAAATTTCTGGGAAGGACCTTTGCAAAAGTAATGGAGGACGGAACGTCTTGATCTAGGAGTCCAATCATCATGTCATACCCGCTATGATAGTTCATATGAGCTGGAACTGGAAGAGCGTGGATTTTGATAATCTTTCGTTCCACAACCTTATTGTTCAGATCAACAAAGCGTAATGTCGTATTAATTGGCATGTTGTAGTGTCTGGCCCAGATAGCATGCCGAGGAGAAATCAGCGTCCCCGCTTTACGGTTGTGGCCATTGCTGTTCCAAGGTGAGATACATGTAAGGTCAAGGTCATGAGCCCAACAATCTGAATTTCTGATATAGACTTTATGGACGTGATCCTGTTTGGAGAAGATTTTAATGGCTTCTGAAACTTCTGTCCCTGCTGACTGCGTCCGTAGGAGTCGACTATCTATACCATTTGCGATGGCTCGGTATAGATTTGTCTCTACACTGGAGAGAGGGCGAGGAGACGTAGAGGTGATATGATGGGTGAAGTTGCAGACACCATTCGCTCCGGTCCCCGTTACTGTGAGAGAAATGTGACGGTTATAGAAGGCATCACAAATGGCCCTTTGATAATCACATACACCTGTAAAGAAAAATGTCATTTATATAATAATAGCAATGGCTGTGCGGAAAGAAAAGGTACATGTAGATGTGCACTTTATGCATATCAGCGAATTTTGTGAATCCTATACAACCAACTCAGATCATCATCCCCCATCCATGTATATGTAATTTATAAATCTGATTTGAATATAAGCCACATCTTCTGGCGAAATAATAACCAAATAAGGAAGCAAAAGAAATACTGGTAGTTCAGAGTTCAGAGGGCACGATGGACGAAGGGGTTGTGAAGATAATAATATTATACCTTCGGATTTTACTGGTTATTGCTGACAAAACATGACAAATGTAAATATTTTCTTTAAAATTTGAGTTAATGTTATGATCACTCAGATTCTTGATAAAATATTTCCTTATATAATGGTTTTAAGAGAGGGTTAATTAATTCTAGACTGTTAATAAGTGATTGCATTAAAATTATCAACTTTGACAGGTTTGTGAACAAATGATCTTGCAAACTAACCGTTATGGACGACGCCGTCATTGGTACAAATTGTGATGTGGGAATATCTCTGACAAACGCCGTTTTCTACATCCTGTAAGCATTCTGAGTATGTTTTCCCATATACCAAATATGCTGTAATATCAAACAAATGAGAATGGAATTATTACGATAACGGTACCATGCTTATTTTATAACCCTAACAGATAGTGCATGTATTACCTTGGACTATCAGTAAAGTTGATATCACTGTTTTTATTGAATTTGTTATTCCCATTTTTACTTCAGCGCAATCGCGTGACTTTACGTGGAGAAATAATGAGTTAACTTCTTATCTCTAACTACCAGTATTGAAGATAGAAGGGATTATACATGTTTGTACTATACATGTGCTATATTACTTATGATAATATCAACAATTTAATGTTGCTGTGATCATGTGGATCCATATATAGGTCCGCTTATTATTTCAGTCGAAGCATGTTTGATGGTTTTGTGGTTTTTATTAGGTTTTTGGGAATCAAATTATCATCAAGAAAAAGAAATGAATTTGAAACTGAAAAAAAGTATCTATTTCTCACACATAACATCTTCTTCTTCAAGAAATTCAATAACCGTTCGTAATATATTCTAATCAGAATACGGTATTTATCGAATACCTTTAATTAATAAAAAAATCCCCGAAAAGCGAAAAACCTGTGTCCTCTAGAACAACGATACCTTAAGGAATAAAAATCATTTTTATTCTTAAAAATTCACAAAAAGAGATAAAACTTTGGTAAATAGAATTTTATTTGAAAAAAAAGAAACTTTCAGTAATTTATATTCTTACACCTTTAAAAATTAGCTCCTATATAAACTCTATACATAAAAAGTCTAACATTTCTAATGTTTTATCGATCGGTCATGAAAAAATCGATGTTTGACCGCAGAGTGCGATATTGGACCTGCCGATGAGATACTGTAAACCAACTTTTATTCGCGAGCGAGCGAGAAATATTCTTTTACTCGCGAATAATTATCGTCGCGAACCAATTATTCACCTTTGTATTTATGTACAATGTTGCCTCAGTCGCGAAAATTAGTAGTCGCGGATGAATTCTTTACTGAAGAATCGCGAATAAAAGTTGTGGCGAATAATAGTTGGTTTACAGTATTGGACCGATTACGTCACACGTTGAGCGGGATCAACTTAATCTTATTTGCATTCCTTGGTATGGAAGTCAGTAAAAAATACATGTGATACACTTGAAATAAGAAGAAAAATACATAAACTAGTGTTATTTCATAAATAGTGTATGGATTAGCTCCCCAGTATTTGCAAGATTTATCACAACAACGCATTTTACCACAGAATTCTTATCCCTTAAGGAATCAGGACAAGCTTACATTTCGTATTCCGCAAGCCAAAACAACTTCATTTATGAAAAGTTTCCTTCCTTCAACTATAAGACTGTGGAATGTTTTTATTCTTTTAATATTCGAAGTCTTCCTACATTTTCATCATTTAAGAGTGCCATAAAAAGTATATACTGCTTAAAACCTAAGAAATATTACAATAATGGAAGTCGTAAAATGAATATATTGCATTGTCAATTGCGAAATAATGCTAGTAATTTAAATGCTGATTTATTCATTTTTTAAGGGAAGATCAAAGTTGTGACATGTACGTGTATAGATCAGAAACATCATTTCACTTTCTTATGAAATGTCCAAAATGTTTGTTGCAAAGGCAGAACCTTATGCAAAACTTTAATACTTTGCAATTACCAATGCCTTTATCCTTACAACTTATTTTGAATGGAGACAATAACCTTACTTACAACCAAAATATTGCAGTATTTAAACTTGTTCATGAATTTATTACATCTACAAAGAGATTTGCATGATAATTTTTTTTTCTCTCTTTTTTTTTTAAAAATTGTAAAATCACAGAACCAACACCTTTTTATGTGTTCTTATTAACTTCCACATTTATACCTGTATTATTTTTATTAGTCATACATGTTTAACTACAAACATATATTGTATCATCAGCTCACTTATAATTAATTTTCGTATATTTATTTTGTCTTTTTTTTTAAAAAAAAAGTCTTTCTTTTGAATGTACACATGTATATATATATATATTTTTTTTTCAATGATATGTAACTAATATTTACTTGTACATGTTTGACTTTGACCTTTTATTATGGAGAGGACTTATATAGGCAGTGTCTGCTGTCCAATCCTATTATGATTATGCATAATAAAATATTGTTTAAATAAAAAAATACACGTATAATAAAAATGAAAAAATAAGTAAATAAATAAAAGTTATAACAAAACATTTATTGACTGTGTTTTCGGGCAAAATGCGTTTTGTCGACCCCTCGAACCAAACTGTTTGTCTTCTGCCTATCGGCATCAGGAAAACGGTTTGGTTCTTGGGTCCGACAAAACACGTTGCCCAAGAACCCATTCAATAAATGTATATTTTAAAAAGTCTAACATTTCTATTGTTTTCTTGAGCTGTCCAAAAAAAATTTTAGACCACAGAGTGTGATATTGCACCTGTCGATGAGATATTGGACCGCTTACGTCACTCTGCTGGCTGGATCAAATATATCTTATTTGCCTTTGTTGGTCTTCGACAGTTACTGAAAGACCGAAGTTTAATCCGCAGTGCGGGTAAACGAAATTTACATCATGGAAGTCAGCAAAAGATATGTCCAAATGAAGTAAAATATCTTAAAAATTATTGACTGGGTTCTCGGGCAAAATGCGTTTTGCCAACCCCTCAAACCCCCTAACAGCCTCTGGCAAACAATTTGATTCTTGCATGGGTCCGACAAAATGCATGTTGCCGTTGAACCCAGTCAATAAATGTATATTTGTATAGGAAAGAATTTTAAAGATATAATATTACTACATCCTAAAAGACAAAATACATAATTATAGTTCTTTATCCTTCACACTTGTGTCAGGGATGATTAGACCTAAACCTTGATTTTCTTTTCTTGTATATGTGAAAGAAAATAGGATTTTTGATTGTTATATTACATTAAGTGTTTCAATTCTGGTTCGAAAACTTTTAGTATGAAAGAAATATGATACAATAAATCCCCCAATTACTTTTTCGGCCATTTAATCAATTTTTCGAAGGAAAAGGGGTGGGGTGGGGGGATGCGTGTTTTCTTACAAAAAATACTTCATTTTAATGTGATCCTATATTACTTTATTTTGATGCACTCCTGACATATGATGTTTTTTTTTTAAACATTGTTTAAAAAATTATAACACACAATAACTTATTCAAAGTTTGTAAAGCAGTTTGTCGTTTAGATATTTTTTTTATTATTTACGCCAAGTTTTTCATATTTTGACTTCAAAATAAGATTATTAGCTAATGTAATGTATATTTTAAAAAATGTTTTAGTGATTAAAACTATTCCGCGAATTGACTGTAAAATGTTCAAATAATCTGTAATGTGTTGATATACATACTGATTTCAACAACAAACAGTATCGAACATTTTCTGCAATATTTAGGCTTTAGTAAAGATAGAAGTTCATTGATAAATAGTTTTGTTACACTCTCAACTGTAGTAAAATTTGAAATGAAAACCGTATAACACAAAAATTCTTACAGTTTTGGCAACCTTCAAATGTAACGAAATTTTGCAATAATAATAGTCCTAATACTTCATAGTTAAAACGCATAAATTGTTTAAACGTGACGTTATATCTTGAATTATTCCCTATTAAGGAGGCTGGGGGGTCAACAAATAAACCACAAATTAACCACCAGATTTAACTTAATTTTTTAGATATGATATCTTAAGCTGTCAACTATCAATTGGCAAAGAAAAATTTCAAAAATTTAGTTTTAAAATTTGATCATTTTCTATATCTCCATATGAAGCTCTTCTTCTAAAGGAGATCAATATAGTCTAAAAATGGCCCCAGCCTCTTTAATGTCGCAAAACTAGCTAAAATATATTTAAACATAAAAGGATATTTTATATGACATTTTAATCATGTGACAAACACTATTAGCAATTGAGGTTAACCAAAGACATTACTAATCAATTTTTTTCGTAATATTTCTAATTTGATCATCATACTTTCAACATTTTTGTTGCACTCCTGACCAAAAGCATATGAGTCTTTAAAGGAGAATTATGAAGCATAAATTACACCAGGTCCCAAGACCATAAACTGAGAATAGACTTAAGTCAAAATTTTGATTCTCGGTATTTTGAGTTTTATTTCAAGTATGTGCTTCAAAAATTGCATGTTTGTGTAATATTATAATACAAAAAAAAATGAGGAAAATTTTATTTGATTATATATTAAAATTATTTCAGAAGTTAAATTCATCTAAATTTTTGACTTACATGCAAGTCTGTTCTCAGTTTGTCTTGAGGCCTAAACGTGTTCTGTGGTTTCAGTGCAGTTTTTGGGGAATTACCTGAGTTTAATAATAAACTTTCATTTTTTTTCAGGGGAATTACCTGAGTTTAATAATAATCTTTTATTTTTTTTATTTCTTAAAAATAAAAAGGAAAGATAAAACACATCTGGAATGATGAAACTGAAAAATAGACAGATTTCAATTTTAAAAAATGTCAATTATTGAGTTCTTCATTATTCAAATAGATCCATATTGATCAAAATATACTTACAAACTTATAAGTTTAAACATACGTAATGTTAGAACTTATAAGTTTAAACATACTCAATGTTAAAACTTATAAGTAGTTTAAACATACTCAATGTTAGAACTTATAAGTTTAAACATACTCAATGTTAGAACTTATACATGTAAGTAGTTTAAACATACTCAATGTTAGAACTTGCTGTCTTGTCACTAGTGTTTCTACACCTGTAACAAATATTTAACAAGAGCTTTTGAAAATATAATTGTAACATCAAAATCTTCATTGCATACTTTATTCTGCAGATTACAAGTATCTAAAATACAAAGTGGGTATAACTAACAAGAGATCCATATTCACTTACATTAAGAAATAGGTAGAGAAAACAAAAAAGTCCTTTTATCTGATTAAACAACAATGTTATATTGAATGTCTGAAAAATATAATCACAAATCATTTTAAGACAATTCTTCCAGTATATACTTTAGATGTTGAAGTTGGAAACGAGGCTCTCACAACAACGTAAACCACACTCATGTGTTCCATGTCGTCAATATCGTACGTAGTATCCACTAAGCCATCCTGGCGCAGAATATCACTAGACCCAGCGGAAGTTCCAACGCTGATGTCATATCTAGTAGGATAACGTTCATTATAAACGAATACACGGCCCCAGTCAAGCCTGTATACTCCATCTGAATTGAGTGCTTGTATTATGGCGGGAGAACCTGTACATATAACAGAAGTAATAACAACTATTACAACTAATAACAATTAATGTCATAATTATACACTCAATACTTGTGCACCTATTTGCTAAATTTTACCCTTCTTGATACAAAGTTTTCTGTATCGTAAGTTTAGTTTCTTGACAAAAAGGAATCAGAAAACCCTACCTGTCAAGACAGGTTGTTGCAAATCAATTCTAACTGAAGCATTTAGAGCAGGGCTTATCCATCCTCCACTGTTTCTGGCTCGGATAAACACTGTATAAATTTCTTCACCTCGGAGTACCAAGTTACTGAAGGAAGCATAGTCATGTCTGTCAACACTAATCCAGTTTTGAATGATGCTGGAACCCCTCTGAAGCTTGCAGTCATAAGATATTATCTCAGAATCATCTTCAAAGCCAAACCACCGGAAGTCGATTCTGGTCGTATCACTCTGGACTGGAACACTCTCTATACGGAAATATGGATCGGGGACCAGGAATTCGATCCTCGCGTTCTCAAGTGACGGCTTCTCAATAGATACGATGTTAATTCCTCCTTGCAGTGTTGTTTGTAGTTCTACTTCGTTGACACAGATGACCTCGGGTACGAGTTTCGTGCCGTGTGTGGCATTGATGTAGTTCGACACAAAGGGGCTTGCCGTAGTCTCGCAGGGATATATAACAGCTCCATATATGTTCTCTACAAAAATAATATTAGAAAAGCATTCAAAAGTTTCAAGGATCTGATTAATAGTACCAATCTTTTCAATTTTCTGAAAGTAAAAAAAAAAGAATTAATCAGCGTAAAACCGAATGGAATTTTATTTATAAATAAGAGAAAGAAAATACATCTTTTATTATTCTTACTGATACAAGCTCTACAGAATTTAATTCCACTTTCAATGTCTTCCGATCGGAATTGTAGGATCATTTTAATCAGGGTGCTGTTGTCGACCTCTTGGTATTCCAGTTTCTCAGAAAGAATCTCTATAAAGGGTGGAGTGTGGTCGGCAATACTTTTGTTCGATGTAAAATAGTTTTGTAAATTGGCGGCGTTTTCAGCAACAACATGTGAAAATATTGGAGAACCATGGGGAAGAGAGAAGTGCATCGAAAAATGATGTTTCCTCCCAATATCAGCAAGAGTCTTTATTTGGGTTCCATTTTCAGTTGTTCCTATGCCAAGCTCGAATCTTTGTATCCCACTTTCAGGATCCACAGCTTTGATACATGCTTGGAACATGACTGGTGAAAGTTGTGCAAACTCTATTACTTGTTTTGAAGTAGAAGGATCAGCATAACATTGATAAATGTCAATATTTAGTTTATGAACAGGTAACTGTTCTTGTAAGACTGAAATGGTTTTTATACCAGTTGTTGATGCCAGTATGCCGTGATGGATATTAGCAGATCCATTAGCATTCATTTTTACGGGAAGGCGCATAATTTCGTCTTCAAATTTCAGGACAATATCTGTGTCCCAAGAAGCCCCTGCATCGTAAATATTAAACGTATAAAAGAATCCTTGTTTTACGGAAATATTAAAAGATGTTTTCTCTGAGCGCAAAAGTTTTCTTAGAATCAAAGTTTTTTCTTTACAATAAAAGCTACTCGGTTCAGTGTTGTCTACAGTGAATGGAGGGGAAAAGGCTAAAGCACTTCCATGTCCTGCCGCATCACTGGCCTGTACTGAATATCGGTATGTCGAGCCATCTTTTAAATTGTTTGATGTAGATGAAGTAGAGAAATTTGTTGACGTTAACTCTAAGAGGTGGAACGAACCCTTTTCATAGATTTGGGTCCCAAATGAATAGTTTCTTATGAAAGACTCTGTGTCGGTAAAACCAATCCATGATGCTCCAGAAGGAGTTTTACTTGAGAAGAATGGTTTATTTTTCTGTGAGGGCGAGTTGAATACCACACCAGAGGTTGGGAAACTGTCATCAACAAGAAATCCATCGGACGATAAAGTAGTGTAAAGTCCGATATTGTTGACAGCTCTGACTGTAAAGAAGTATCGCACACCGGGTTCCAACAATAAAGAAGGGCAATGTTCTGTCTGATTGCCCAGGTTGATTGACTGGAGTACATCGTCCACTATAATAGAAGTAAAAATGTTACATAATTATGAAAGATTTTTAAATTCAAGGTGTGCAATAAATTTCTTTGTAATTATAGACTGATATTGAAGTCAGATCAAATTTACTTTAAAATATAAGACTTTTCTCAAATCTTCTAATTGAGGATAATCAATAATTATATTAATAGAAATACGTTTTGGAGAGGTTCCAACTCTGAAAGTATACAATAATCGATCAGCATCACTAAAAACATTTTTCCAACAGGCGCATATTTTCCATTGGCTTTCGGCAAAGTCGATGTCGACTCCGCATGGCTCATTTCTGGATTCTGAAATAAATTTTCCTCTTCTGACTCTAGGGGAGACATCCTTAATTGTAATGCTCTTGCTTTTGGAGATCCCATACTCATCTCCTGAGACCCAAGCCCTCACATACAGAATATACTTTTGATTGTTTTCTAAAGTCTTATGTGCTGGTAAGCAAAATAGAATGCTTGTTTCTAAATCATTATCAGTCCATGGATCCTCTTTTTGAAGGTCAAAAATGCCCTGCCCTGGAGCTTCATTGACCAATCCAACTGTCCACTCATATCTTTTAATATTGCTGGAGTTTGATCTCCAGGAACCAGCAATGCAGGTAGTGGATGACTGAATTAAGATGTCAGAAGAATTTGAGGAACCTATGAAAACCTCGGTGTGAGTGTTATTTACTTCCCTGCATGTATTTTTGCCATTAAATCTACACTTCAATCCAACTACCCCGCAAGTACAATCATTGTTACAAAAAGAAGTTTTACAAGAATATCTCTGAGTTAGAAATCGCCCTCTCAATCCAGATTTGTCAGACATCGTAGTGAGCACTGTTGCCTTGGCAGTTCTGCTTTTTAGTCCCGCATGATTTATTGCATAAATGGACAAAATTATTTCATTATGCATATAAGGTTTGAAGTCATAGAGAGGAATTGTGGCCGAGGTCTGGTTTCCTAATATTTGATAGAACCCATTAGTAAATTCACCTCCATTATACGTATGTCCAACAGAAAGTTTGAAGAATGCTATGTCAGACTCGACATCTTGAAACCCAAACCAAGAGATAGTTGCACTTGTCTGATTGTCAGAAACTTGCCACAAGTGTTCAGACGTAAAACCACCAAGATGAGGAGGGCTGGAATCAATTAGAATGGGTTGGCTCTCACTGACTGTACACAGACCTGCCTGGTTACATGCCGTCACAACTGCAGAGTATCGGTCTCCATTTAACAGACGGTTAGTGGCATTAAATGGGATCATGATTGTGTTAACGTTGTCGTGAATGACTCCTTCATACGGTACTTTTTTGTTATGATGACTGCTTAGAGTAATAAAATGATGGGAGATACGACTCTCCTTATCACTAAATAGCCAAGATAATTTGAGAATAGAATCATCATATTGAATTTGAGTTGCTTCAGTTAATGGACTTTTAAAGGTGTGGATTTTTGGTTGTGAAATGACTATGGGTGGTGTTTCGTCTACTCTAAAAGCATGTGAACTAATGTTGGTAGTGAGATTCACATTATTAAATGCCATGACAGACACAAATAAATCAGTTTTTAGAGGAAGCCACAGAGATGGAAGGTATATATCATTGGAAAGAAAAGAATTTCTGTAAGGTAAGATGTCGCAATTTTCTTTCTTCGTTCCTATGCACCATTCGAAGTGTTCAACAGATGAATGTGGGTCTTCAAATCCTACCCAAGATGCCATTATTGATGTTCTGTAATATTCATTAAAATCAATGAATTGAAAAAAATAAACAAATTGTCTGTATTCATAAATCAGACTTAAGATTGCTGCTTGGAAATATACCTATCATGTAAATATGCCATGCGTCCTGAAACACCCTTAATGTAAACTATCCCAGCAAGAGGTGGAGAATTATCCACAACTATACCGTCTGAAACCGATGTGGAACAAAGCATAGCTCTATTACAGGCCTTAACGAACGTAAAGTACTTCTGTCCAGCTGTCAGACTAATTTTCCAACAGTAATCTAAAGGGAAAGAAATTTTCAGTAAACACATGATTCAATGTACTAGCTATAGTATGAGTACGTTAATTTGTTGAATCAGATTAATGCAATTACATGTAGCATTAAAGTCTGTTTCCAACGATTATTCTGCCTTTTTAACATCTTATTTTCTATAACCATAGCAAAACCGATTCTGTAGTTCAATGTTTAATTGATTTATAGCTTTATCAAAGACTTGACCGAAATTAGTGTGCAGGATTTTAGATACTACCTCAAGCATTTGTTCCTTGTACTTTATTACAAAGAAAGATAAAATTATTGATAAATGCACTCATTTGGTTACCTTGACGAAGACTGATATCCCTAAAGGGTTTTACATCAGGAAAGTTTGGGTTATTACCAAGACCTGTATAGTAACCTAAGATGTCTGAATGAGGATCACTGAATCCATTCCAACTGGCACAAACGACATCCACACTTGTCTGGTAATCTTCGTCCTTTATTAAAGAAAATAGTAGAAGGATGAATATCAATTTAAAAGTTATCTGGAGTTGACATTGACTTCGACTTCTTTTATTTGTATTCTGAAAATATATAATTATGCAACCCGTATCTGATTTGTTCATCTTGTCCTTACATTAGTATTACAAGTATTACAAAAGAGTCGAACAATACCGTATATCTTTCAAAGCTGTCAAAAACTGTTCCTGGGTGCGTTGGAGAAGTATCCACAGTAAAATTATGAGAATACACAATCAAAGACAGAAGGGCGTGGTTAGTTACCTGAAAATATGACATCAACATGTACTTGTGAAATCAGAACACAGGATTGCCTGCTGTATTTTTCAAGCAGTTTTTGATTGGCTATACAGGTACAAACAATGCTTAATAAAATAATGTCTGACTTAGTAATGAAAACAACTGCAAGTATAAAACCTTTAAGACTGCTCTATATGAGTGACCATCTATGAGGTTTTTAATGTTTTCAAAAATTATTGAATCGACATCTGCATGAGTGAATGGTACGATGATTTCCCCATTGTTGGATACAAGACCACACTCAAACTCCATAATGTTACTTTCATCATCTGCAAACCCTCGCCAGTGGACCGTTATAGGATGATTCGATATGTAGTAGTTCTCTATGACATCTCCTATGTAAAGTTTACCAGCATCAGGAGGAGAAATGTCCACTGTGAACTGGGTCACAACGTACGGACTTTTCAGCCCTGCCCTGTTTGTAGCTAAAAAAAAATAAAGAAACAAATGAATAAAGGATAAGAAGACCATATTGCTTAAAACATATGTTTATGTATTTTTAATTATGTTTGAAAATGAATGTAAAATTGAAAAGTTGCAATAATAAACACAACTGTTTACTAGTTTCCATCACTATTTAGACTGTAGATAATATATTTGTTAAAATATTTTGTTTATATGAAATTAAGTTTATAATTTATACCAACCCCCTACCCCTTCAAGAAACAAAGGGAAAGAAACATTGAATACAATTTATCCTATTAAATCAATACTTCTACCGAATTATATATATATGAAAAAGAAAAAAATATACCAGAAACACTGAGGTAATAGGTCTCTCCTTGATTTAGTTTAAGTTCTTGGATTCTGATTGGTCCATGTTTGGTTGTTTTCTGCCAGACCAATACATCATCAACTCTTGCCATTGTACCTTTAAATTAATAAAAGGATTTTAACTGCAATTTCCCTAAAATTTTCTGGAAAATTTTATTACGGTGTCCATAAAGAATGTGTACAGTAAAGTAACTTTATTTTGCTTTCAAATCTAAATTTAGATTGTATTGTTTTTACCAATTCCATATTCGTAATAGCTAATAGAAGGGAGATTTTCTTCTCCTATAGGCTTGGCATCCTCAATAAATGGTTCAATATTCAGTGATAAATCTGAAAGGGAGGTAATAAATCCATGGGAACCTTGTATCGTTACTTGGCCACGTCGAGGAGGGGTTGAATCTACAAAAAACCCATCACTACAGCCATATGATTCGTTTTTGCCCCGAATACAAGAAAACAAAATTGTTCCATGAGTCAGTGGTACGATTGTAAATTTTGCTATTCCTTTGTTAACTTCCGATGCTGAAAGACAGTCTAAGCGTTTTTTACAATCAACCACAGTCTCGGGCGTTTCGGGTGAAGTCATAAGGAATGCGTCCAAGTCTTCCCCGTCATGCCCCAAAATGAGAACTGACATTTTGGCATCAGGTGTACAATAATCAATTTCAAGATCGTGGACACTTTGCTGTAGATTCCCTAAATTCTTACTGAACGAAACCCGAGAAATAAAATCAGCAAAACTTCTATTAATTCTGTTGAGATCTATGTCTAAAATATTGAGATTATTTTCAACAGGATTGTTCGTCACAATCACAGGAGTACACTGAACGAACCAATGTTCGTCCTCTAACCAATTCTGAAGACAGAAATAGATTCTCCTCTTTGTGGCTATAAAATTGCCCAGGTTTTGATTTACCTACAAGAAAAGTTTATCTTGAGTACAATGGACAAAACAAATGAAATTTCCAACGCTCTGACTAATGGTTATAATAATTTACCTCTTTCTCATTTGTAACTAAGGTCCAATTCAAAAGGAGATCTCTTGCCATCGCATCAAAAGAGAGGGTCCATCTTTCAAGTTGTATTTTAGATTCGTTTATGATTGATTTTTCCCAGCTTGCAGTCAGAATTTTGTGTTTACCAGTAAAATTCAGAGTGGCGTCTTTAAATTCTATTGGTGAAGTTTTTTGGTGAAACACAAACCCATCTGAGCGAGTGAAATTTAGGCAGATATGGCCAAAGCATGGAGAGACTTCGACAAAGTAAGTGGTTTCCTCGATTAATTTAACGTTTTCAAACGAAGCAGAAGTAGCACTACTGGACTGCTCTTTCATCGAAATAAGTTTATCATCAGACCCCCGAATTTCCTGCTTAAGCTTTACAATATAACGCGTGGGGTGAATAACATTATCCTTTCTTTTTGTCCAGTGTAGAGTTACAACATCTGTTTTCTCTGTGAAGTCTATATCAAGATTACATTGATGGAAACTGATATCAAATGCAGTGTCTGATTGTGTGGAAAATTTAAGAGATTTTGATTTTGCTATGAAGATAACAATTTTGCGGTTGATTTCTGTGATTGTTTTCAATATCAACGCCCCTGATGAGTTAATTGAAATGGTTGAAATATTGAATACAAATGAATATATTTTACCAATTTTCAATGTTTTATTGATTGTTACTTCACATCCTGCTCTAGAGTTTACGTCATACAGAATAATATTTTTTGAAGTGTCTATCGGACATCCTTTACCATCATATGATTGAATGCTTGACGTAAAATTCTCATGAATAAATGTGATTCCATCAGAAGAAACAACGGTCTGTCCTCCGTAAGAACTAGCTTTAACGAGAGAGTAATACTTAACAAAAGGTTCGAGGACATTTGCATCAAAACAATGTTTTTCTTTTGAAGTTGATTGTGTATAACGAATAACATTATCTTTATCCTTTTTTGTTCCGACTCCAACTTCAAACGTGATGTTTTCATGGTGTTCAAATCCCTTCCATTTTACACACAGTTTAGATGGGTACAGTATATAATCCATATCGGAAAACTCTGAAGTATCAGTATCAATAACAACTCCAGGTCCGGGAGGAATCTGCGAGGGAATCCAAAATGACCTTGATTTTGTCGTCCCAATGTGACCTGCTTTGTTGGTTACTATTATTTCCACCAAATACTTGGCCGAGTTCTCTGTTTTTGAGGGATGAAGACGTTCAATAGGGTATATAATGCAGTCAGCCATGTTAGATCGTGGGCAATCATTTGTTCTATAATGCTGCAGAAAAGGAGTGACGAATTTAGATTGCTTACCTAAAAGAAAAGAAATAGTTCAAGTGAAATTATATGAAAAAAATATAATACGTAATTAACGGTAAGCGAATTTTTTTTTGTAAAAAAAAGTGTTACCTATTCGAAACAGAATAGAATTTATCGGATCTGTTTCTTCCTGATCAATGAATGTATCATTTTCCCATCCAATATAAATATTTCCATTTTCAATAACCAAGTCTAGTTCTTTAACAACAACAACAGGTGTCGAATCAATAATCATTGGTCCTACTCGAACAGTTTCTTCAACTCCAGCCTTGTTAATGCTTTTGATATACATCCAAAATATTTCTGCGCTTCGTAACCCAGGATGATAATTAATATACCTTGGTCTTCCTAATGTTTTAGTGTATGAAAGAAGAGAAGGACTGAGATATTCCGAATCTGATTGGCCAAATCCAACGAGAAAATCATCAAGCTGAGATTCCAAATCACGAAATTCCCATGAAACTTCGATCTTGTCGGAAGGAACATAGATTTCTTGATTGTTGAATGGAGGGACCTTTTCACACATTCCTTCAGAGTATATCTCATCTGCATATGCATTGTTTATTTGAGGTAAATTTTTTATAAACCCTGGAAATGAAAAATTTCTGCAAATTTGAGTACACCGAGACGAGTTCTTTAACTGTATCTTTGTTAGGTTGTCCAAAATTATGAAAGGATTATCATTTTCATCACATGCTATTCCCTTTTTTGTGATAAATCGTTGCCCAGCAAGATTAAAAATTTGCACTGGAGACATATCGTACGTTATACCGTCTGAACACGCAACATCTGAACTTTCCCCTGCATTGTTAAATGCAATCACAGACGTAAAATACTTTCCTTTCTTTGGAAAATAAAGACGAGCGGATTTCTTTGTTGTATTTACTATAATAATGCTTTCATTTGATCTAATGCTTAGTATTTCATTCAATCTGAGACATCTAGAGAACATGACTACTTTATAAGACCTTATTCCACTTTCATGGTCTATAAAACCATCCCAGTTTAAAACAGTATTGTTTTCGTTGGTAAAATCATTGTCCTTTTCTCCGGGAGCACCTTCCCTGACCACTCCTTTGACGGGAGCCGATTCGTCAACAAGGATATCCAAATGTTCTACAGTTTGTAGAAAGGCGTTGTTTGTCACGACAAATGTGAAGAAATAGTCTCTATTATGCTGTCCAGTGTTGTTATGTTTGGTCATCAGTTTTGACATATCTATGCTGTATATTGATTTTTCACATGGGCCATGAAAAGGACAATAACACTCTGTGTCGTTGATACAGTCGGTCTTAAAAGAATATATGTATTTTGTAAGTGTATTTTGTAAATGAACGTACAAGTAGAAAGTGTTAACTAGAATCTAAAATGTGAAATAAGAATATTATTTAACTTCCTTGTAGACTTGTCTCTTTGTCATTTGGAATTTGTTCCTGTCAATTTATAAATGTATGTACATAACAATATTGAATATACCATGAAATCTTAATTTGCTGAAATTGAAATGAGAATACCTTCTCTATAAAACTCATGAAGTAATATTTTAAATTAATGGTTTTTCAAAGCAAACCATGAAAAGATGAAATTGAGTCAAAATAAAGTCCTACGGAGTTCTATCATCAGCGATTTGCTTAATACACGATTATAATCATAAAGATACTTAAAGAAGGCAATGATTGTTTGTTTAACGTTCCTTCGAAAATTTTATTACTCCTATTGAGACGCCACCACTTGCCGATGGAGGCCTGCAAATTTAGACCTGTGCTAGGCACTTAGGGCCTTTGAGCAGTGCTGCAGCACGGGATCACGGTTATATGGTCTCATTTAGAGGACCGATCTCCGCGTCCCGCAGTGGAATTCGAACCCATGACGTAAGGATCAACTCTCTACTCGGCGACTCTAGAGCAAATACTTTAACCACTGCGCCACGCGGGTGACAGACAATAATTGTAAGAATAGTTTATTTACTTATATATGTATTTCGTAATTGTTCTGAACTTACTCCATTATATAGACGATTAACCGCCAAAGTCCCATCTCCAATATCTGCTTGACCTAATCTTGTGCCCAAATACCACTGGATGGATTTTATTCCACTGTGAACATCTCGTATGGTCAAAATCATTTTCATTTTTGAAAGTTCAATGGTGTTGTGAACGAAAAGTCCTCTGAAGTCACCTTTATTTAAACCCATATTAGTAATTTCCGGAACAGATGTATCTATAAACACAGTGGTGGAGTCACTGTTAAAGTTGCCCATGATATCTGTGGCAACAACATCAACCGTTACAGAATCTCCATCCTTTAGAGGCAAACTGGCACAGTGTTTCTGGATCAATACATTTTCGTGCCGCTGATTTACTATTCTTTTCTTGCCATTCAAAGTAATTGTGAAATTTAATTCCACGATACCGTCAATGTTAGCGGTGCCATTTCTTGGCAAAGGATAATCATTGTCTTCGTAATCCTCTGCAATTGTAGATTTACGTTTAATTGGTTTAAGAAGATTGGTCTTTTTGTGTAAAGTATTAAAAAATCGCCCTGTCCAGTCAAAACAAAGTTTTCTTTTCTGTGTTTGCCAAGTTCTGTTTGAATTAATATCTGCTGTTGCAATAAAAAGATTCTTATTTGGATTCTTTTGAACATTAGAGCAATTGTCAAATAGCACAAATCGCCTTGCTATTTGGACATTTCCTTCGCCAGAATTATCGACAACTTCTAGATGGATTTCAAAAAGACCACAACTTGTAATTTCAATATGCAGTGGTTCTGATGTATCTGATTTTTTTGTGTTGCTTTTGTCTGCTGATAGATCGGCTTGTAGCAGAGCATCATCGCCACCTATGCTGTAAACAGAAACCTCATATTGCCGAATTCCAGAAGCATTGATACGTTTACCCTTGAAAATATCTGAATCTTTCCAACCTTCTAGCCCTATGGTCACAACTGGTGATTTTGTTATGGAGTTCATTTGAATAATTTCTAAATCTTTACATTCACCTGTGACTTTGCAATGAACAGGTTTTAGATTATCAAACCAAAAACAGGTATCTCTCGTAGCCACGGTTTCATTGTAGTATCTTCTTTGGAGAAGTTTTAGTGGATCGTGCAACGCTGTTGTCTGTAGGTATCCCTTACCTGTAGCCTTGAAAGTGTAGCACAACCTGATTTAAAAAAATATCCAGGTTCATGAAAATCTATAGGAAATTAATAACGATTATTCAGTGAACATGGCGTTATAAATAGCAATTGCTCCGCTGGCATATTCAATGATGCGCACTAGCACATCATGAAAAATATGCCAGCAGAGCAATTGCTATTCATAGACCATTTCACTGAATAATCGTTGTTTATTACTTATATTTGCATTCTATGAAGTTGTCAAGAATATCGTAGGAAATTCTGGCCTGCATAAGGGCACAGCTGCCTGTCTACAGTGAAGAAAACATGACAATAAAATCAGTATACCTTATTTATCAACCTTATCTCCAATAAATTACATACAATATATGATATATGGTATTTGCTTCTTTACCACAGTTATAAAAATTAAATACACCTCAATCAGCATTTTTAATCATTTTGAATTTCTTTTTTTCCCGGAGGATTTCATTAAAAACTAAAATTTATTTCTTTCGCACAACTTTTCATATATATACTTCTGAATGTGATATATAAGTAGAGTAGCTTGTTCTGTACGAGTGTGAGAAATGAATTGCAAACATAGCAGAAGACGTTGCGTTCATAGTAATTTGAAAGCAACTGTGAGTGCAGGTTTATAGTGGGAGAAAGCAAAGAATATGCATATAATTTTTTTCATATCGTAATAACATGTCAATTATAACATGAATAAAGATTATAATTATTGATATGATAGACAGTTTGTATTTCTTTTTATATGAATACCCAACACTTACCCGTCTCCATTCTCCATAGAAACACGAGATAATACGGTACCATTTTCAAGATGAACAGTATCATTTAGTTTGTCCAAATTTATCCCATAGTAAGAGAGCTCATTATCCAAAATTAACTTAGTCATTTCTGCAAAAGAATCTCATATTCTAGTACAATCTTAAAACTGTTATTATAAATATAGAACGCCTTAAATTCTGAGAGGAAACTTTCTTATAAAATTAGTATAATTATAACAGTATTATGTCCATAAATGTACCAATGTGAATGTGTTGGCACTTTTTCTACCAAAACAAAAAGACATTAGCTTAGTCATGGCCATCGGTCTTACAATTAACCTAAATACCAGTACATGATGTCTCTTAAATGCCTTCTTTGTAAGGATAACGAATAGTTATCAATCTCAAAAAAGTCTACTTACAAGGCAAATCTTGTAAACAGGGCACAAAACAGGGACCCCCGGAAATTCCAGAGGTTGGATCAGGTGCCTAGGAGGTGTAGTAAGCATCCCCTGCCAACCTGTCACATCCGCCATGAGCCTTAAGTATTGATCAGATATAACGGAATATTTCGTAATCAAATTAAATATAAAAAAGGCCTAACAATTGGTATGAAATACGACCCAATGATAGGTTAATGCTTTGCTAACATGGTCATGATAACGAACATAGAATTTTCAAAATGCTGATTTTAAACGAGGTTATTGAAATCCATGTAACATCAACTTCTCTGTCAGTAATCTGCCTGGTTTTAAAAAATTGATTGAACTCGGAGCATACTCTTGGGTATCGAAAAAGTTGGGAGACGTAAACCCCAGGTGATAGCAGAATATTACTACATAAGCAAGGAGAATTGACGAAAACAAAACTGACGATGGAAAAGCTGTAGTCATCTCATTCGCCGTACAATTTAGTTGTAAGTTGGCCCTTATCGTCCATAGTCACTACAACATCCAAATATGAACCAGTAGTAGTAGACTCTGTGGTGTCTTTTATTTCGCGTTCACTAGAATATATCGAGTCGACATATGAATGGAAGTGAGTGAAGTGAATATAATAACAATGAGGACTTTAAATAATTAATTTTAAGAGGGCTGAAGTTTTGGGAACCACGATTTTAAGAGGGCCCTAGTTTTGAGAACCTCGATCTTTCAACTGGCGACAAGATGTCATAAACCGGTATTTTGAATCTTGTCGTAGATAATATCAAATATGTAAGAGAAGACCTTGACACTCCTCTCAGAATGGATTCAAAGTATGAAGTGAATGGTGAAATCTCGGGATAACGTCAAAACTGTCTATCCTTCTGTCTTCAGTAATTCTGAAAAGACCAAAGAATTTGATAGAAAGATTAATGATCAATACGTACAGGTTCCAGATAACAACAAGTCTGTGCTTGTAAGGCTCATTTTTATCATAGCAGAGGAAATTTGGAGGAATTTGGATTTAATTCTGCAAGTGAAAATTTAACTTCTACTCATAGTTCCCTTTCTAATATAAGGGTGAAATTTTTCAAAGCCATATGTCCGTTCAAAATTTTAATTAATTAACATTGACAATATACATGCATATATGAAATCTTTGGAGACCAGGTAAATTATTAATTAACAACATTCATTTTCACCCCTAAGTTGATTCGATATATCCTGTGGAAGTTGAAAAAAAAAACGAAGTCGGACACGTCTGTTTCATATTCGAATGTTCACTAGAGAAAGATGATGGCAAAATAGCATCTTAACTTTATAATAAACATGATGACTTCAATTTTAATATCGTCGATTTCCCTTTTTTATATAGCAATATACAGTGTACCATTATCTCTAGCATATGTTGTTTTCGTCTCCCAGCTGAGATACGCAGGAACATGTTCTACGTAAGACCAGTTTCTCAAACGAGTCAGGTGACTGGCAAATGAGTTGTTGATACAAAGATATCTACAATTTTGTTTAAAGTCACTATTTCGAAAATTCTATAGTCGATATAATGGCCTTATTTGTAAATAAAAGTCAACTTCCGCAAATCCTTTGATCGATACAACGGCGAATATTGACTGACGTCTTTCATACAAATTGTTAGGCCATATTATTATTATCACATTAAATCTCTACAGATTTTTCCGTTTATCTGATAATGACAAGAGGCACACGGCAGGTGCGACCAGTTGACAGGGGACGCTTACTCCATGATACCTGGTCCCATGGAGACAATTCTTGCTGTCTTCCACGCGCTGGGTGACAACTGTATTGCCTCCCTTCAGATAACATAGAAATAGCCCAAGCGAACGTACAGGGTAATGGATATATGCCAAATACAGTTCTGTATGAAAAAATATCAGACTGTCTGATATTTTTTCATACAGAATTGTATGAGGCATATATCGTACTTAAAACATTGCTCTTTAAATGACACTTTGATTTACCTGAGATAGTCCGATATTTTAACAAAAGACAAAAGTGTTAATGCCTAATGAAGCAATTCTTTCAAGAATGCATGGTTGAATGATTGATTGATTGATTATTATTGTTTTACGCCGAGTCGGCAATATTTCAGCCATATTTCGGCGGCATGCTTGAATGAAAAATACTCAGTATTTTTTGAATCAGCTACATAATTATGGGTATCAGGGTATTTAAAGTAATATAACTGTTTAGAATGGAGAATAGGACTGAATTATCCCCACATGTATGCACAGAGCTTGAAGCAGTGCATTGGATTATAATACAGACCGTTTAGTGAATGAAAAGGAAAATACATATTACAACTTTTATTTGAACTGAAAAAAACCCAGCAAATGAAGCTGATGATGAAGGTAAATTGATTTTTAATTATGGGCATTGAGAATAACCTAAGAGGCCCGTAGCAACTTTTTTTTATGTTGGGGACCTCCAAAAAAAAAAAAATAATTATCAGACTAGCAACAATAAAAAAAACTTAAACTGCTTAAACCCGAAAATCCTATATTCCTCTAAAATGAAATCCTATATCCCTCTAAAATGGGGGGGGGGTAAACATTTTTCTACTTTTTGGTACACTTTTCTAAAAAAAAAATCTGAAATTTGATAGTGCTCGACCTAAATGCAAAAACGTTTGTATATGTGTATGTGTGTGTGTCTTATAATGGGGGGGGGGGGGGGGATGGATCTTAATGGAAAAACTATACGGGCTTGTGTTATAAAGACTGCATGTGTAATATGGATAATTTTTTAATATAACCAGAAGAACTTTCTATGATTAAAATGAGAGATTTACTAGCCAACTCTGCTGTATAAATGTTCATTGGTTTCAACCCAAAATAAGAGAATTTCTGAATTTTTAACATTGCATGAAAACATCACTTGAAGTCAAACATGTTTATCGAAAGTTCAGAGAGATCGTGTTTAAATCTTTTATTTTATCCCTTCTTATTTCAGAATGAGTCTTTTTTTTTTAAGTTCCGATTCTGTGTGATCAGTAAATAATATTCTGTTTTTAAAAAATATGTACAAATAACTATGATCAAACATTGGTGTTTGCTAAATAGACACATTTTAATTTCTTTTGTTCACTAACAGTCCAATTTTGAAGGATATCAGTACTGAGAAAGTTTGATATTACACTTAATATCAGACTGCTCACTAATATCGGACTGCCACAGGTAAATTTTTAGACTACAAGAACAAAGGAATGACATCACAGCAATGTTTTAAATATATTCTAACGATGATGTCAAAGCTGTCTGTTGAAATATTTCGAAAGTAGGGAATCATAACTACAAGATGTTTGATACTTTCTACTCTATTTTATTAAATTAAGATTCTCCAGGTTAAAACTATTATGGACTGTATAAGCCTAAGGAGGACACCATGACAACTCTACTGAGACCTGATTATTTGTAATGTCTCCCTTCTGAAAGGTCCATAATTGTATATTGTTTAATAAAACATTTGTGTGTGATAACTGTTTGTTATCATCACATTTCACTGAACAAAGTAAAAAAACAACATGATGTTAAAAGCCTTTTAGATACCTTCTTACGTGACACTCGTTACACCAGGGTTCTCCATCATTTGAAATTTTACTGTGTTGCAGACTTTACGTGAACCACTTATATTCGCGGCATTTTCGCGATCAAATTCGCAACTGAACCACTATTCATTATAATTACACAAGAATACATACACACAAACTATTTTAATTACTTATTCGTCACAAAAATGGTATGGTCGTGCATATTAATAAAAGAAATAAATTAATGGATATTTAAAACAATTAGAATGACTCCATATAATAATGTACATATAATGTAATACATGTATAAAACAAACTAACTGTTAATCCCCCCTACACACACACCTTAAAAAAATAAATACGATTAAAAAAACAACAAAATATGGTATTCTTTAATCACTATCTGCAAGTTCTACATATATATCAAATCTTGATATTTTTGACAGAAAACTATGATGAATCATGATAAACGGATTAGATAAGGGTCATCTAAAAAGATGTTTTATTAATAACACTTGCAAACGTCAAAAGAAGTTTTTGAATGTTAAAACGTCCAATTTTTTCAACTGATTTTTCATAAATTTTAAATCTTTCTGCCAAAAACACAGAGCGCAAGCAAGTTTATCCAATAAATTAACCATGTACATAATGCACTAACATCATACATATCTTGTGTGTGAAAATCAAGAATAGCTCGGCTACCCTTCATGGTTCTAAGGAAAATGTACTTTAAATTTCATGAAAATTTCTTTTGATTTCGGAAATTCCTTTTTTACCTACACTTTCTTATGGCATATGAATATAAAATTCTTTTGACCAGGCATTATTCTAGGATTTAAATTACAAATAAGAAAATCTTTTGAATGTTTGATCCTTTCACAATAAGAACTTTTTTGTTTGAATGATGTTTAACCTAATTCATAGCTTCCAAATTCTGTCTTCAGCATCATAAAGTTCAAAACATTACTCGTTAATTTAGGATATGACTTTTTCTTAGAATTTTACCTTTAGTTGTTTGTTTCCATTGAAGTGTTAGGCTCCCTCCTCCTATTCCAAATTTATATTCTTTTATAAAGGTCGGCCTGGGATAAGCTGGTGTTACAGTAAATGCGTACTGTAAGGTAAAATCTGTCCTGGCGGGCTGAAAATTAATAAAATTATCCTTTTGATCTTTACATGCAGAGGAAGAGTTTATTTTTCTTAAGGTAACGTGTTCTCCTTTGACTCCATGAAGCCCAGCAAAACAAGTTTCAATCGTAGGCTGACGGGTCACTGTAATTGAAACATGAAATAAATACTTGGGCCAATATTATAATAATCTCTAGGTATTGCAGTATTCCATTGTAGAATATGTTGAATAATTTTATACTTATGCACTGAGCTTGAGATGCATCCTTTTCAGTAAAAAATCCTTCGTCGCACTGACAATCTTTTGCAACATTATCAGCACCACATGTTCCAGGCCAGCAATGTCTGTTTTCTTGCGAACAAAGCCCTAAAATACATCTTCTCTAATTCAACATTTGTAAAAACTCGAAAATAAATCAAGACTAAATGGAAAAATGTTTCCACTTACAGGCACACTCTTTGTTTCCGTTGTAAAGCTTGACAGGATGTGTTGAGTTGCATCTTTTGCAATGACCTTCGGTTGACAGGTAACAGTCCAAATCTTTTTCTACACAGTTTTCTATCCTTGACTGATCTGAATAAATGTATGTAACTTAAAAGTGAAAATGTAAATAACAAAATCATGTAAAGATTTCAATCCTTTAAGTTGTTCTTGCATGGTCAAGTAATACAAACCTTCAGCTTTCACATAAATGGCAAATTCATCGGCAATGTGTGGAACTGAAATAAAAATCACGAAGAAAATATTATTCACCAAAAATTCATACAAGTTTTTCTTTTCAAATCAAGGGTTTATGTTTGAAAACATTAAATTCCACAACTCTTATCTATGCTAATAGCAAAAAGTCTTCACTGTAATTTATTTAGTATATATATGTAATTCATAATGAACATTTTACCACATGAATACTTTATTTGTAAAAGTTTTGGGATCCCTGGACACTGATCACCAAGAACAGCGTTTGTCGCTCCAATTACACATCTCTCTTGATTCGGACATCTAGGTAATACATTACCAATTACATTACCCCAACAGCCTCCTCTTCCATAACGTGCGCTGTATATATGTATTATACTCCCTGGATTGCACTGCATAGTAAGGGGGTTATTTTCTCCTACTTCCTTTTGTTCTGAAAATTGTAGCAGAAGTAGTCTATGCCTCTAAGCATTTCAAAGCATAAAAATAAACTGTTTTCAAATCCATAACTTTGAAACATACAAAAAAACAAAACAAAACAAAAAAAACCCACCTTGTTATTCTTGCTACAAATATGCAGTGTGCTAGTATCTGTATACATATATGTCTCCTTTTTTTATATATAAACTCTAGTATTCATGTGCCTAGATCGCTTAAAACTTGGTTTTGAAATGTTATGACTATGATCTTTATATGAGTATATACCTTGTGTGCTGCATTTAAACTTATAGATGATTACTATAATTAATTTATGATTCACATTTCTCTCTCTCTCTCTTTCATCTTTCATATATATATATATATATATATATATATATATATATATATATATATATATATATATATATATATATATATATATATATATATTCTTACGCAGTTTTCCTCTGGTTGCTGAATTACTTGGACTGTACATTATGGTTGGGAGTAAATTTCGCTCCCAGTCATATACTTGAGTCTCAAAAATACCGAACCAGAAGTCCCCTATATCATTTGATCTTCCTCCATTATTGCTTATTACGAAACGTCTTTGCATAGAAGAATCACTGGAATATATGCATTTAAATAAGCTTTAACTCGTTCGAAACTTTAAAACATTATGTATATTTTTTAACTCCATCTTAAAAAAAATGTCCTTAAATTTCTTAGCATCGTGTTTATAAGTTACTTTAGAAATTCTGAATATAAGAACCATTTTTGATGTAAAAAATATTTTACAAAATGCTTTAGAAGTCAACTGATATAGTTTAAAAACCCTTATTGCATAATGAATTTTTATGTTTTATTTATCTATTCATTTTATAAGAGAAGAAGTAACGAAGAAGATGAATACGCCAAAATATTTATGAAATACAGAAAACATCTAGTCAGAGATATGTTACCACCGGTACATGTAAGATTTATTTAAGGAATCACTGTCTAGTTAGTAGAGTATGCCAGGGCATCAACGATTGTTGGAAATGTGGGATAATTTGCATAACGGGCGAATCCTTATATTTCCATTGCATTGTGAAATAAAATTTTAAATTTAGATTTTAAAAATGTAGACTAATAGATTTAAATTACACGAGGTCTCCCATGTCAATTTAATAGTCCCCGTCCAGTGACGTCAAACACAAAGACAGCCGCACGAGATTTACATGCATATTAGGCCAACTTAGCGTCAGACGCTTAGACATACGCACGAGATTTACATGCATATTAGGCCTCCTTAGCTCCTAATGGACTATCGCTTGGCGAAATTTGCATTCCGGTAGAGTGATCAAGAAATCAAGTCAAGTAACTTTCAAAGAGTTATCACAGAGAAAACAAAAAGAAATGGAAATATTATTTGTTGTATAAAGTGTTATCATTACAATTGTCCAAAACTGGAACCGCTAAAATATCTCAAAAAGGCTTTTGGGAAGACTTTATCAATCAATATTTCCATTTCTAATTGTTTTCTCTGTGTCAACTCTTTTAAAGTTAGGAGAGTTGATTTCTTGATCAACCGGAATGTTAATTTCGCCAGGTGAAAAGTCAGGAGCCTTATATGCATGTCAATCTCGTGCGGCTGTGTTTGTATCTGACGTCAGTGGTCGGGGACTATTGAAATTAACATGTGAAGCCTCATGTATTTTAACTCTATTAGACAGATTTTTTTAATTTATATTTACAATTTTATTTCACATGACACTTTTAGTATATTTCCATCTATCATTTACACAAATACACTAGTATGTTTCCCAAGCAACATGCAAAAGATTTTGACACATTTTTTAAAATCGTGGATCAAATTTTACAAAGTGTATGTATACAAGAAAAACATCTTTTAAAAAATCTTTTTCTTAAGAAAAAGTAGGCCATGTCAATCTTATTTGTATTTAAGCATCCGTGTAATGGGTTAATTGGTTTGTTCTTATCTAGGGGTTTGTTCTTATCTAGGATTTGATCACAATATTCATGGAAATAAAAAAAAAAAGAAAAACATTTTGAAAATTTACTTAGAACTCATTTGTGGCCCTTGCATGGCTCTAGACCACTTATTTAATATCATCATCTGCATTGCAATTTCAGGTCATCAATTTACTGGTGGTCATTGATGTAAGGCGTTTAAGCTATAGCAGCTAAGATGTGATTTGGTATTGCTAGAGTTTTTATTTTTTATTTGAATCATTCCAAATATAATTTATAATTTCAAATGAATAATGTTCGCATAGAAAGTAATGACTTACGGAGTCTTAAGGAGTAATTATAAGCCGCTCTAAATTTAAAGTTTTTTTTTAAAAAAAAACCTTTCCAACATTAATTTTCATCAAGAGCTATAGCCAACTTTTCGGCGTGAGCATCACTGAAGAGACATAGTTTGTCGAAATGCGCATCTGGTTCATCAAAATTGGTACGGTATATGATTTACATTATGACCCCTGTGTCGAGGCCTCTGCCGGTGGACTACAGTCCAGTAGCTAAGTACTTCGGTACCAGTTGAAAATACGGATATATATTAAACTGCAGTGGTAAAATTTAGAAATTTACTTCAAAATTTATCTCCCTCATGCATAGCTCTGATCCTTCGACGTATTTGGCTCCAGTCTTTGGTGCCCCCTTTATTCAGCTCTTCAAAGTTTTTTTTTTTTAAATTTAACTATTTCGGATTTCCAACGTTTCGGCATGAGCATCACTCAAGAGACATATTTTGTCGAAATACGCAGATCGGGTGCATCAAAATTGGTACCGTTTATGATTTAGATTCAAATAAAAAATAGTATGCGGTATCAAGCACTGATGATTTTTTCAGAAATGATTTTCATCTCATTATCATCATAACATTAAAAATATGAGCTGTTTATGAAAATAATACATTTAGTGTCATACCTATTAAATTCATATAAGAAAACATAATAAACATTCATATTAGTATTAGTAAACATAACAAAGAGCTGCTTCCTAAGTCCGAATATCACAAGATTATATTTGCTTGTAATAAATATACATTAGCAGGATTCACCTTTCTTTAAAATAATTTTTCAATGAAAAAAATGTAATTCTGATAAAAATTCTACATAGTGCATTAAACATTAAAGCATTTTTAAATGGTTCATTAAAAGATAGAATTTCTTCAATCTATAAGGGTTTTGATACTAGATTTAAATGTTTTATGTCAAATATATATAAAAAATTCTGAAAAATATAGGCAAAAAGGAAATAAGATTCATATTTCCGTAATATATTGGGTTTGGTTGAATTGACTACTCAAAGCTCTCTATTATCAAACTCTGGTAAGATAAACTATGAATTATATTAGGATTTTTACTTGGAACGTTATCTCTCTTATCAGGGGGTCGATCAGTCCCCCTTTACTTTGAATTCACCGAATAACTGAAGGGAAAAGAATATTTATAAACCCTATATCGATATTTGGCGTCTTCAGTACAAATATGGTTTTTATTTTGTATGTGTAACCAATATATATTTTATCTAGGGAAAAAATTAAAAAAAAATACCGCGATACAATAAGATTATATAATTTTATCCAATATTTAGGACTGGATTGGTTGGCTGACTGCCATTTCACCTGTAATTTCTGTTCATTTGTAATAGTACATAGAAATGACATTAATACTCACCCTTCAATTCCAAATAAGGTATATGACCCCCACTTGTTTAGGTCACTGAAGCTAGAGGAATTCAAATGTTTACTTTTGAACCAATTAGATTTGTCAGTGGAAGGCATGGATTCGAAAATTATGTTTTTCATTTCTCTTCCATCTTTGTAAATTGCAAGCTTTACCTGAAAAAAAAAAATTAGATGAATTATTTGGGGCTGACCTTTCTATGACATTCAAGTAAAGTGATTGTACACATATAGGTTTTATAACGGATATATTATATGGACATTTTTAAACTTGAAAATACAATATGCTTAACCATTGATGATAGAAGTTATATTAGAATAATACCATACTCATTTAAGGTGGTATGGGATACCAGATGAAATTTTTACTTGCCTAAATTAGTATGATTTGAAATACCTTAACGTTTCTGTATTTAAATTGTAATTTAACATTTTTTTCTAAATTAATTTAATAAGAAACACAAAAAATGATTCTGTCTTTTTTTTTTTCAAAAGCTTGATACTATAGGCAAGAGTTAATTAATATATTGATGATATAAAAACAAAAAAAAATATAAGGAATGAGTCTCGTTTTTTTTTTTTTATTTTCAACAAAAAATAATCATACAAAACTGGGAAAACTTCATTTCTTGAAACAGACAGATATTATTCCATGGTAATATACAACTAGAATGTGCCTTAATATGTGAACAAAGTGAAATATAGAAATTCAACAAATATATATAAATGGAAAATATCGCATGCATTAATTTTTATTAATTGAAAGATCCTAATGGAAGAGTTATTCTTCTTTATGTTCCACGGGTTGAAATTCTTTGGGTGCTATTTCAGAAAGTATGAGCATTTTTTTCAGACTATCAAAAAAAATTACACTCTTGTGCAGTGATAGTCTTCACTTAACTGTTCTGTAAACAATGCATGAACAATCGTATCAAAGATGTGTCTCCTTCAAATCAAACAATACAAATTGTGAGCAGAGCAAATACGGACCTCTGAAAACAGAGGTGGGATCAGATGTCATTGAGGAGAGAGTATCCTCTGTCGACCTGTCAAACGCAATGCAATGTGAAAATAATGGTCTAACAATGCGTATGAAAAACGTTAGTCAATATTCTATTTCCGAAAGATTGTAGCTTCAAACAAGGTCTTTGCATGGAATACAGTAAAATACAAGTTAAAAAATAACTACTAGTTTACTAATCAATGTGAATTTTGTCGTCTCCAAGTGGAAATTAATTGTGTAAATACAATGACTGAATATATAGACATTAATTTCATGAACTGTAATTTTCCTGATAGAACAGATTTGAATATCATAAATTATAATTTGGAAATTGTTTTGAGATTGAATTGATCAGAATCGACAAATAAAACCCTTCTATACTCAGTGATAAAAGTTGAAAGGAAAAGATAATTAAAAGAGCTCAGGGCTAGAATCGCTTTGGAGATGAGATGTTACTGAACCCATCAGTATTACAATCGTGGATATACCTTGATTGAAGGGAAGTGCCATGCGGGGTTCATTGCGGCCAACTGACAGAATTATCGGCAAGCTTACATGTGGCAAGGTAATGGTAAGACAGTCAATAAAAAGTACTTATGCAGGACCATAAATACACTCTGAGCATAAACTACTAATTCAATCAATAAACTATTAAAACTCAACATGATCACTGTAAATTGATACAAACTATTATCACTTGTAGCGATGTTCTGTGAATTAAATGTTTATATTTGTGGTATGGATTATTAAACTCGTTTTTTAAATGAAAAAGAGAAATTATAAAAAAAAAAACAAAACAAAACAAAACATTTTTTAAAAGTAGAATGTGTATTTAAAAGCTGAAATGGATACAGGTTACATATTCATTCGGGATAGCTAAGGAACAATCTATAGGTCTATAAAATGGTATGTTTATTTAATGTGTAAATAAAGCTTTTACAAACAGTGATTGTCACTTAAATCCATATTTTAGACTTTATCTTTAATTCAATCAATTTACAACCAGGAGAACAGGAAAAAAGACGTTTATCCGTCTTTTCTATAACAAGGTACGATATCTGGGTGAAATATTTAAAAAAAAAAATTGACTTGCTATTTAAAACATCGATAGAAAATAGAACCAATATCTTGAAAGTGCCATAATTTCCCCTTCTGTGTGACATTGCCTGTTGAAATCACATTTCAACAGAGAATATAAACTTAAAATGCTAAAAAAAAAAATGTCATTTTGAATCGACTATCAACGAAACACTTTAGAAATATAATGTATGAGTTGCACATTCCATCAGGTTATGCTAAACTTTTTAAAAGCATTTGAAAAATATATTGTTTTTGATTTATTCATTATTTTGAATTACTCTCAATTTCATTTCAAATTGGGGAAAGTATGTGATGACGCAGTATTTACATTAATATATGCTGAGTTTTATTTAACGTTTATTTAGGTATTTTGTACACTTACCCCATGAATTATCATTTTCCTCCATTCGTCTACTAGCTTGTTTTTGTAATGGATACTACATCTACTCCCTATTTGCCTGGCTCTTGGCTCGGATAAACCAGAGGTTCCTTCAGTACTCCATAATTTGTATATATCATTACTGCCACCAATTCTTCCGGATGCTCCACGAAAAACCATAATCCATGGTTGACAATGGACTGTGACTAAATATCCTTCATTTAAAGAAATCATTAGATTTATAAAGTAAAGAAGAATTGAGTTAGATTAATATGCACGTTATGGGTACATCCGAATAGACACAGTAGCCAGGTGGGATGAGTTTCTTGATAGGGAGGCCTCCCTACACTGTCATTGAGAATGGAATTGAGACGAACATCTTTATAAGAAGATCCTTACCAATACCGTCTACACACACACACACACACACACACACACACACACTGATCTCTCTCTCTCTCTCTCTCTCTCTCTCTCTATATATATATATAATGCCATGCTTACCTGCCAAGACGAAAAATAAAACCTCTACTTTTTCTCGCGTGCATGCCAGACCGTACATCTTTATTGTAACTAATGGCAAAACAGCACGTGTTTAAATACCAATTTTTAAGTGAAAGACAACATTATCTATCTCAATCAAATCTTATCTTGAGATTTTACGAAGTAAATGCAAATAAATCTATCGGTGCATAAATGCCATCACTGGATGTTTGTCCTATCAAGAAAATAGTGAAATTATACAACAGTGGATAGTAATGACATAAAAAAAACAAAAAAATCAAATAAGAAATTTCCACAAACAGTGTTTCGTGAATACTAGTAGTATATCACTGCTAAGGATCAATGTTTTTAACATTCACTTATTAGATGGTGTTCTTTATTGGCATATATTATAAAACTTGAATTTATGATAGTTAACTACAACAGTTTAAATATGGGAACATTTCTCTCTGCGCTTGCAATATGGAACGAAATTTGATTGCACACTCGGTTACTTTTAATTAAAGTCGTTCCTTCGTTTGATTTCTAAGAACTTGTACTTTGTTACACATTTTTCACGTCTAACTTTCATGTATTCTGAGTGCACAATTTCAGATATACCTTCAATATATAAGCGTAAACAACAGACATAAATTTAATTTGTTGATTAATGTATATATGCGACAACGTTTATATGCGATATCTTTAAGAAAAAAAAAACCACTTTAATTTTTTTTTAGTTATGCAGTGTTGAAAAAATTTGCATATTCCTTTTTTTCAATTGGTATTCGCTGTATTTATCGATGCAAATTGCTTCTTAATCATGCTATATATTTTCTTTACTAAACGTTCTATTAGGTTTAAAGTGACCTATGAGTTCGATTTCTAACGTGTACGAACGTATCTTAAGGAATGTTTTGCTGTTATTCCTTCAGAAAGAGTAGTTGTCTTCAGAGATATGACCTTGCGTAAAGGTAAGATCATATAGATGACAAATCAAAACATACTTCAGATCAAATTAATTCTGAACAAATATACATAAATTGTGACCCAAACATTATTTCACATTCTCATTGCCAGAAGTTTTACATTTAATGTTTTATGCAGATTTTTTTTTTTCAAAATTCGCACATGAACATTAACACTCAAAGTTTCCTTAACATCCATATAAGGTAAATACCTATGATGTATTTGAGAAAGTGAAGATAACGAAAAGTGATCGATCCCATAACAATCTACAAACAATGCACATTTGTGCACAGGGCATAAAAACACAGACTCCTGGAAATAATATGAACAAGCATTCTGAGAGTATCGCATTAGCAATACTAGTCCCCTACCGGCAAGTGTAATCTGGTTCCCGTTAAGAATTGAAAATGCCATAATTCCGTCAAAAATTAATGAAGCGGGACGAAATGCAAACTTAAATGATCTATAACTAATGAAGGTAAAGCCACATACCAAAAAATCAGCTCAATATCTACAAGCGTTTAGAAGAAAATTGCGGAAAACCCGTAAAAATTGAAAAGGCCGTAACTCCGTCAAAAATTAATGAAGCGGAACGAAATGCAAACTTGATCTGTAACCCATCAAGATACACTCACATACCAAAAATCAGGTCAATATCTGCAAGCGTTTAGGAAAAAAGTGCGGAAACCCAAGTGAGACAGACTGACAACAGACAGAGGGACAGACAGACAGACGGACAGACGGACAGACAGACAGACGGACGGACAGACTCAGAGGAAACCTATAGTCCCCTCCGGTTTCACCGGTAGGGGACTAATAACCAGGTACCTAGGAGGAATAAGCATCCCCTCTTGACCGGTAACACCGGTCACACCGGTCAGTGAGCCCACGTATTGATCAACATTCTGTAGTCAAATTCAGTATAAAGACAAAGATCTCACCATAGATATGAAACACTGTATAGATGCCACAGGCACTTGATTATATATATATATATATATATATATATATATATATATATATATATATATATATATATATATATATATATATATATATATATATATATATATATATACAATACCACAATATATGATATTCATGTTAATGTAATGTATTTACCATTTCCATATTTGTCTCAAAGTGGGGAAGATTATCGAGGAGGTAAAAAACCCATGATGATGTATAAAAAAGTAATAATGATATAATAGAATCAGCTATTGTAATGTGCAAAAAGGTGGCAAGAATACAGAGGGTTTAAGAAACTTTATCGTTTTGATTTATAAGGGTCACAAGATAGTCCAGTCGCCCGCGTGACGCAGTGGTTAGAGCGTCTGCTCTAGAGTCGCGTGGTAAGATGATTCTTACGTCGCGGGTTCGAATCCCACTGCGGGACTTGGAGACCGGTCCTTCGGATGAGACCGTATAAACCGAGGTCCCGTGTCGCAGTAGATGTTGGCACGATAAAGATCCCTTACTGTTCAATGGCCCTGAGTGCCGAGCATAGGTTGAAATTTGCAGCACTCCACCGGCAAGTGGTGGCGTCTCCATATGAGTGAAAAATTCTCGAGAGGGACGTTAAACAACAACAAACAAACAAACAAAACACGATACTCCATGTCTTTTTCATGGCTGTTTACGAGTTTACTTAATACTCATCAACTTTGGTATCCGTGTGTTCAGTGCTAAACCCCTTGTCTATGAATGGGAAATTTTCTGTACCGATGTTCTGAGCAGATTCAGTTTTTTGGTGGCAATTTGTGAAGAAATTTGTGAATGCTGTTCATCGTCTCCATACATTTCATTTAAGAGAAGTTTTAAAGTAGGAAAGTGTCTCTCTACAAACAGCATGTATTTACTCTTCTGAGCCCATATAGTGCCAGTTGTTATTAAAAATGTTACACTGTATGCATGTAAAGTATTATTTTTTCTCTACTTTCAATAACTATGGAGTTGACATTATCTGAAGAGTCCACTCATATTTCAGGGTCATCATACTTATTACTTTTACCCAGGTGATCATAATAAAATGAATCTAGGTTCTTAAACCACGGATAGAGACCGTTGTTATCGGTGTGAAGTATAAACATATTTGCCTCTTTTTGTATATTTTTACTTCAAGTTCTTCAAATATTTTCACCAGAGCTTTGAACTTGTGTTAAGGACATACGCAACGTAGTTTCAACTTTATTGGCTTTTTCCCTGGAATTGAAGAGTTCCAATACTTAAAGGAACTGTGTGCTACATTTTATTGTCTATATGCTGTTGCACACTTCTTCTAGAACAAGTTTGGATAAAAAAAAACATCTATCATATATGTTTAGTAATTTTTGTAAATTTTTCTTTGAATTATACAAGAATTTTCATCATGTGATATCTTTTCAAAACCCCTGGTAATGCATGCTGATTTTTTGTCTACGAACATCTGATGGCACTATGATCTTAAATTAAGAATATCTTGTAAAATTATCAGTAAGTAAGGTACGTTGCGTATGTCCTTAATAAAAGAAAAAAAACCCTATCTCACGAGTGAAATAAATTCCATATCAAACTACTGTGAGATGTCATAGCTATATTGCAATTGTGAGATTGAAAATATTTTTAACAGTTAGGAGAAACTTTATTAGTTTAAGTTTTTTCAAGATGGTTTATTTACTCTCGAGCTTCCTATCTTATAACAAGAAATATTTTTCTTATAACACTCCCCGTAAAGGGAATAAAAATCGAGAGTTTTGCCGCACTTTTGATATTTTTTAAGCAAAAAATTTCACTTTAATATTTTTCACATTGATATATATGGAGATAACGAATAGTATTCAAGCTCAAAAGTCCATTCAAGCGATACAGACCAGGAGCAGATCAAACACAGACCTCTAAAACATCAGGTGGGATCAGGTGCCATGGAGGAGTGAGCAACCCTGCAGACCGGTCACAACTACCGTGTGCTCCTTGTCATGATCGCTCAAATTCTACACTCAAATTTGTATTACAAGTATTACAGATATGTCATGTATACCTTTAACAGGTAGACCATTTGTTTTTGTAAAGAATGTTTGGCACAAGGATGAATTTAATGGCATATTTCAATCACCTGTTTTAATGAAGATTACCATTCTTTGAAGTTATGTCATCTTCGCACGTGAAAAAATACCCACGTCAAATTTTAAAACCAGTTGAGTTCTTGGTACCACTGACATATCATTCACTTGTTCTTAAGGAAGGATTACCACTTCTTTGAAGTAATGCAATCTTTGCCCTGTGGTAATACAATAAACCCCTCTTCTTATCAGTGAAAATTTCTACTATTCAATAGAGACAAATTATAAGATACTAAATATATACAACAAGAAAAAAAAAAAAATCAGGAGAATTAAAATTGTGCCAGAGAACGGCAATAAATAGAGGAAAGAAACAATTTATTTCTGGCGTGAAACTATAGACAATTTATTTAATAGCTAGTGTTAAGTCAATAATTACTGTGCAACGGTCAGAAAACCTTTAGAATCGAAAGAAGTTGCTTTTAGTATACCAGCTCAATTGGGTTTGAAATTACAATTTCGTTTGTTAGTGATATTTTAATTAATTGTAATAGGGTTGCTATTTACGTGTAAAACTTTACTATAAATCTTTATCAAGAGATTGCAAATACACATACCCATGTACGGTTCTTAAGATTTCACTAATCTGAATCAATATTGTATTTAACATTTAGAAAGTCAATATGTGTGCTTGTTATCAAGATATTCGCTCTTAAATAAGTGAGACATTTACGTGTATCTTCGGATGAAATGCTTATAGAGAAAAAGGCTGGAGAAGCTCTTTGTTTTTTTTTTGTCTTCATTTCTTTTCCTTATTCCGTTGACAACAAAAATGCCATTCGTTTATAATTTTATCCACCATTTAAAGGTTCAAGTTTTTTGGATAATCTTCAGACGCTGTATCTGACCTACATTTTCCAGATCATGTGTAAGGTTTTTTGGCAAGTCCATTCCCAATCAACTATAATTCCTACACATGTACCTGAAACAAACCTGTAAGAATGATGCATATAGGGATGTATATTACTAGACTTGCTTCGGGTGCTGGATTTGACCTTAATTTTCTGGATGA